GGGCCATTACAGCATCATTGCCACGACGTGATCCATACGAATTGAAATCGCGTGGCGTCAAATTACGTTCGGAGAGATAACGTGCAGCGGGCGAATTTCTTGCGATAGAACCGGCCGGTGATATATGATCTGTTGTAACAGAATCACCCAAGTACAATAAGCAGCGCGCATTTTGTATACCCTTCAGTGGTGGCAATTCACGTGTCATACCCTCGAAAAATGGTGGGTGCTTAATGTATGTAGACTCACTATTCCAGGGATATAATTTGCTTTCAGCCACCTCAATCTTTTGCCAGTCTTCAGAGCCTAATGTAATTTTACCTAAGAATAATATAATTTGCGTTAGTTGATTTTGGTTATTTCTTTCGGATTGATTGTCATACTATAAACTTCTTTGAACATAGCTGGTATAACGTGTTTGCTTTCGACGTCTTGGATTTCATTGCGAGTTGGCCAAATATCACGCAAGAATACCTTTTCACCAGTCGGGCCCTGACCTAATGGCTCAGTCTCAAAATGAATATCGACACGACCAGCAATTGCGTAAGCAATAACCAACAATGGGCTAGCCAAGTAATTGGCGCGGGTGTTAGGATGAATGCGACCTTCGAAGTTGCGGTTGCCCGACAAAACACCACAGCACACCAAGCCATTCTTTTCGATGGTATTGACAACATTATCGTCGAGTGGTCCGGAGTTGCCGATACATGTCATACAACCATAGCCGACAATATCAAAACCTAACTTCTGTAAGTATGGAATAACTCCTGATTCTTGCAAATAATAGGTAACTACACCAGATCCTGGTGATAGCGATGTTTTAATATAAGGCGTCACTGACAGTCCCTTTTCCACCGCCTTTTTGGCAAGTAAGCCGGCTCCCAACATGACCGAAGGATTGGAAGTGTTTGTACAAGATGTAATTGCAGCAATCACAACTGAACCATGGCGAATGGTGTAAGTTTTTCCATTATCCCATTGGAATTGTCCTGCGGCTTGCAGAGTTTCTGGAGCAATGGCGAATCCTTTAAAGCCGACCTATAAAAGTTTAAGTGAATTATACAAATGTCAGTAACAATATTAATTATACATTATTTATTAAAAATTATTTACAATATATATTTTGTCTTTTAATTAATGTATTCAATATAGGTAGCATTGTTGACCAATATTCCTTTATGAGTATATTAATGCGAAACTAGTCGAACGGGTAATGTATATTTCGATTATGTATTTAATTTAATTTGCTTATATATGTATTTATATATAAATTTAAGAGAAAATGTTCTTGTTTTCATCTTGCAGAGAATATTAATATCAGTTTACACTTACAGGATTGACCAGACAAGCTTGGAAGTCGCTCTTCATATCTGTAACTGCAACACGATCATGTGGTCGTTTAGGTCCGGAAACAGAAGTAACCACAGTTGACAGGTCAAGGGTTAGAGTCTAAATTTAAGAAACAAAAATTACAAAAAAAAAAAAATGATTAATTACAATATTCGATCAATTTTGTGTAGAATCTAATAAATACCTGAGAGTAATTTGGGTCTTGTGAGACATCATTATAATTACGTAATTGTCCAGTTTCTTTTAAATATTGCCGGATAACCTCAATTTTTTCCTCTGTACGATCTGCATTTAAGGCAACATTTAGGAAATTTCTTGTTTAACTAGTTATTTGTTCAAAATTTACTTGTTTGCCTTAAATAAGCCAATGTGTTTTCGTCGATGGGGAAGAAGCTCACAGTTGCACCGTTTTCGGGAGACATATTACCGATGGTGGCACGATCTGCTATACTCAACTCTGCAACACCTGGACCATAGAATTCAACGAATTTGCCAACAACACCTAGTTGTCTTAGATTTTTGGTAATAGTCAATACCAAATCAGTAGATGTAACGAGTGGTCCCAGTTTTCCAACAAGCTTGTAGCCAACTACCTCTGGTAACAACATGGAAATCGATTGCCCCAACATAACAGCTTCAGCTTCAATACCTTTGTAATAAAAAATATAAATGTGAAAGGTGTTTTGAAATGTTAGGCACTTGAAGAAGATCTTATGAGTGAAGCTTACCTCCGACACCCCAACCAAGTACTCCTAAACCATTTATCATGGGTGTGTGTGAATCGGTACCGACAACACTATCCGGATAGAGCAGTTTTGTATTACCGTTACCTTCCTCGAATACTACACGACCCAGATATTCCAAATTTACTTGATGAACTATACCAGAACCGGGTGGAACAATTAACATGTTGTTGAAAGCGCGCGCTCCCCACTTTTAGAAAATAAAATAATTGGTATATATAATATGATTTAAAAAAGTGGCGGAAATACACAGTTTTTAAAATACCTTTAAAAATGTAAAACGTTCTTTATTGCGTTGAAATTCCAAACTTTCATTCTTTGTTACTGCATCCGTGCTGTAAGTAAGTAAAATATAAAAAGAAACAAGAAAAAACCGCTAACTTCAGTGGTAACGAAGCTAGAATACCCTTCACAAATAAAATCAAAATAGAACTTGATATTTATCGTTCAGTTTGTGTGACAGCTATATACTATCATGTCCCGATCTCAATAGTTTGCTCGGATATTATAGCGTTGCCTTGGGCAATAATGCAAGGTAAATTTCGTAAAAATATCTTGTCAAATAAAAACTTGATTTGAATTGTTCAGGTTGTATGACAGCTATATACTATTGGTCCGAAACCGGCGGTTCCGTTCCCACGACAGTCGGGTGTACATAACTGGAACGGAGCCGGATTTATTCCGGCCAAAGACTGTCAACTCGGCAGAAATCTGCCTGTACAACAACAAATGAGCAGCCGTTCCCCCTGACATTCGGGCCTAAGTAACCGGAACAGATCAGCAGATTTCTGCCCCTACAACAACAGCAGCACAAATAAGCAGCTTCTTGAAGAGGAAATGATGTCTGCATATTTTTAACTCTAAAACTGAGCGCCTAGTTCGCATATATATGTACATATATTTTTAGGGTGTTTCTTTCTGGGGGTTACAAACTTAGTGGCAAACTTAATTTACCTTATTCGGGGTATAAAAAGAAAATAATAGTAGGTCATACCTTCTTGTGAAATCCACTTGGACCGAATGGTCAATCACCAAATCGGCAGGACAAATTGGGTTAATTTTTTCGGGATTACCGCCCAGTTTTAAGACTGCATCACGCATTGCTGCGAAGTCCACAACAGCGGGAACACCAGTGAAATCCTATTTAAATAATATTACTTTACTTTTAAATACATCCACAAAAAACAAACATTTATGTACAGACCTGTAGTATAACACGCGCCGGCTTGAAGGAAACTTCCACATCATTTTGACCCTGCTTTAGGTCGGGCGACCAAGCCAAAATGTTTTGCACATCTTTTTCAAGAACATAAAAGTTATCGCAATTTCTTACTGCAGATTCCAGGAGCACACGAATTGAGTACGGTAGTTTATCTATTTAACACGGAAACGTAGCAAAGATAAAATATTGAATGAATGAATGATAACAGCTAATGATCACTAACTGGCTTAAATTATGCACAGCGATAATAAGAGAGAACGCTTAATTGGGAGATAACAATAATATATAAAAATATTCTTGACAATTATTCGTTCGGCTTTTTTATATATTGCTCAAGAAAAATCTTACACGCTTATGCAATACATGTTTATAAATATTATTATGCTGTACGTGCCCTCTTTTTATCGCATATGATTATGCAAAAGTTTGATTTGCCAAATCATTAGCGCGATAGCAAAGCTCAAGTGGCGCGTTTAGTATATGTCTGATTTGTATTGATTTGAAAATTTATAGTCTTATTCTTGCTTGACCTTTTGATACCTGTAAATACATATGAAGCTTATCGAAACAAATGTTATATGAATGTATGCATGTGCTATGCATTCCAAAGGTGGGATCTGCTTAATTAACTTTTCATAAACGCCATTGCAATTAAATTAGCATATACTGAGTTAATAGAACGACTGTCCCGAAGATTTGTACGTACATATCTTTTATGTATGTGCTTAAACATACTTCGATTAACGTCTCCATTAATGCATTCTCGTTTGTTGCATTGCACTTTTTTGATTTTATTAATTTCAATACAAATATAACTGTAGAGCATAGAATACGTGCGTATAGTACAAAAATCAATTGAATGCTTGCTAAATAAATGTTTATTTTGGCAATTAAAGGTACTTACTGTAGTTTGGATCAATTGAAGCCAAGTCAAAGTATTTGTATGTTGTTCCATTCAATGAAAATGACTTTTGATACTGCGCAAAAGGATTGGAACCTACACAATTTAAATATTTATTACGATATATTCCTTTATAAACATGTTTTTAATGAAAATAAATTTGGTCTTATTTCGTATTAAGTTATCTTACCGGCCATTGTATAAAGTTTGTATAAACTAGTATAAAAAACCCAGAATAACAAGAGAAACAACAATTTCACCGGAGGCACGTCTGACCACAAATGATTATCACAAACAAATGGCAATGCCGAAATATTATCCCAACATTTGAATTCAGATCCAAACGAGCATTGCTAATTATCAACACAAAATAAAAATCGGTAAACTGTCGTCAGAGCAAACCAATACATTTATCTGCTAAAAGGTATTTGCTATCTAGTTCTGCTAGCTTATCATATATAAGTGGAATGTTAATGGTATAATATTTTCTTTGCTATTACTTGAGTTGGAAAAAATCTTATGACATCAAAAATGCAACCATGTGGCTACGTTCATAACAACGCTGAAGACCGAAATAATTGTCCGTTCCCACAACAGTCGGGTCTACTTAACCGGAACGGACCCGGATTTATTCCGGCCAAGGACTGTCCACTCGGCACAATTCTGCCTCTACAACAACAATACCCGAAATAATTGTATGCAACCATTACAAATTCAAGCAATACATTAATTTTTATTCCAAAAATATAAATATTTAATTAATGTACAATGAAATTTTTGTTTATTTTTGCGTTTAATAGAAGGTTTTTTAGGTTTGTAAATGCCACTATCTCTACACGTGTTTAACCTAGTTATATGGTAAGTATATGTACATATATCTTACTAATTGTGAGTCAACCATATTATGATATGCGATATGTAATCATATGTATGTACGAATACTATATAGTATTAGATACAATATATATACCCATATGAAATTTGGGAGAGCACACTAATCTACATACTTATATTAAGACCTAACTTTAAACAATATCTTTCACGCATATCATCACGAATGCAACTTGTTCCTTTAATCCTCCTCCAACGCCAAATTTGTGCTGCCGATATTCGTGCCGGAGTTTCCAATTGTGGTTACCCCGGTAGTTGGGTAATCCCGCGAATTAAGTTTATCATTAGCGGGTGGTACAGATGGTAAGTCAACGGATTTCCTCGTACCTTAAAATGTAAATTTTTATACACAAATTATAATTTTTATTTTATTTAAAAGTGGTAAAACTTACTGCAACAACCACCCATATTAAAAGTTAAGAAATTCGATAGGTTTCCAATAACTCACGACGTTTAATGAAAAACTGAATGCTAACAACCAATTTGATAACGAAGTTATATTATATTACATATGGACAAAATAAAGAAAATTAAGCCCCAAATGATAAGATGTGGTAGTTCATTTATATTCACCCTACAAAAGGCTATATGACTATGCTAACTCTGTTAAAATATGTTTTTCGAGATTTTGATCATTTTTCAAAATTTTCTAGTTTTTTAGCAAAAATTGTATGTCAATCGTACATAATTGACAAGGTATTTAAACCCATATCTCTTTACTGCTTTACCTTGCCAAGTATGTGTGTATAGAATTAATTGCTGAAAATGTGTATGTAATTGCCATTTTATGTGATATAAACAAATCCAGACATTAGATATCCCCTTATATACCCGTATAACTGACATATATTCAACTTTATTTTGTATGTATGCTTTTACATTGTCTGAAAATGTAGTGATTTGATCGTAATAATTTGTGTTATTGTAATTTTTTTTAACGGAATGCCGTGATTAAGAGTAACTTCTCCAATATCTTTAACATTAATTACAAACCAATTTTGTTGCAAATTTTGAATTATAACATATTTAACATTATATATGGTATATAAATATAAAAACGTAAATATTTATATATAGTATATATGCACTTCTTATACCGAAATGTCAAAGGGCTGAAAATGTATCGTGTTATTTATAACTCCAAATTCTGAGTATCTATCTAATACTTTATTTGAAATGTTTGATTGCAACCCTAATATTGTTTTTTACAGTTTCCTTTCAATTTGTTCGTTCTTCGGTTTGAAATGAAAATTCCATTCATTCATTGGTTTCAGATTAGTTTTGAGAAAGCTCTCACTGATGAATGTAAGAATTACTTATGTTGATAATAGTATAGGGTAGCGGCGAATTCTGAAGTGCTGTGAACCAAATATACAATAATTTGTTTTATAACAAGAGAATACCAATGGACAATAACCAAGTGTAGTACTGCAAGTCGGTTTTTGTTTTGTTATTATTCCGCGATTCTTGTTTTGCATTCATATCTGAGTATCTCCTCTTTTGTATCTTATATCTAGACAATTCATATCATCCGTGTTTGACGTTTTCTTGTAAATGTCAATAAAGTGAAATTGAAAAAAATAAACGATAAGTGTAAAAGACTTTAAAATAGAAATTAACAAATAACACCAGGATCACGGTTTGCCTCCTGATTGGTGCAAATGTGCTGAAAGTTAATGAAATCAACTTTTCAATTTTTTCGGAAGAAAATAATCGCCATCGTCATTTGAAAAAAAATCGATATAAATTAATAGTTTTTCCAACCACTATTGTTGTGGTTTGGGACTTCAGGAATGGATGACGAGTTTAAACTGTGCTGGAAAAATTTCCAGGATAATATAGCCAGTGGATTTCAGAATTTATATGATCGTGGAGACTTGGTTGATGTTACACTAGCTTGCGATGGAAAATTGTTGCATGCGCACAAAATTGTTCTTGCAATTTGCAGTCCATATTTTCAAGAAATTTTTATAACCAATCCCTGCAAGCATCCAATAAGTAAGTAAACTATTATAATTATTAAGGTTTCATGCAATATGTATGTAAATATAATCCTTTGTTTTGCATTGAGTACAAATTATAAGTACTTTTTATGCACTGCATGCCAAAGAGCTATCGTTATGATATAATTTGAATGCTTGTACATACGCTATTTACATATGTATGTATATATGTACATACACATACATATGTATAGTTTACTTCGCGCGACAATTTACAAAACTATATTTTGAATGCATTCAAATTTATTCATTAGTGTCATTGCTCAAAAGTCGAACTAGGTATCTAATGTCCTCTATCGGAGTAAAAATTACTTTCTTACTGAACTTAATGTACAATTAGTACACAAAAATTGTATATGCATGAAGCGCATTTAAATTCCAAGCAAATTTTAACCAAGCGATTTTTTTCTGGTTAATATGTTTTGATCTATTTGGTTAAATACTTGCTATATATCTAATGTCAGGTTTGCATATCTTGTGATAACCTAATTTCAAGGGAGTTATTTACGAAACGTTGCACTTGCTAGTGCTTAAAGAAGTTCCTATGTATATCGACATTTTCATATGTATAAATGCTAATCAAATCATATTAATATGTTATTAATATGGCAAACGAAATGAAATTATTAAGAGCGTTCGGCGGATATCAAGTTTTTTAAACTATACATAAGATTTAAACTCATCCAAGTTCAAATTAAATTATTGATCTCATCGAAAACCCCTGCGGGGAAAGTTCTGAATTTGAGAAGTTTTGAACTTAAAATTCCTTAAAAATCATTGTACATGCTGTAATAAAGATATGTTCGTGCTACCACCACGTACACGTTGTTTTTGAGTTCACAAAGTTCCGTTTAAAATTAGTGATTAAAAATCTGTGAATTGTATATTACGATTTAATAAAATTTAATATATTTTTTAAAGTGTAGACAATTCGTTAATAAAACCAATTCGAAGTACTTTTTTATTTCTAAACACTGCAATCAAATGTTTATCTCTTTATCCGTAAAACTACCATATATGTATGTGCCACTATTTCAATTGATTGGAAGTTTTTTAGTTTAATATTTACCACGTTTTATCAACGATCACTACGACAAATGTTAACATTTTACAACAGTAGCCACTATTGCTTATGTCATAAGCAGCTATGATATAAATCAACTTTGGTAATAAATTTTTTAAAAGAACTCTAGAGAACAGTATGCGCTAGATAAATATACCAAATATATCATTCTTATACGTATATACATTCTTAATTCACTTAACGTATAGAGCGGTTTAGTTATTAGCGAAAAACCTGTATCTACGCCATAAATGAATCCATGAACGTAGATATGTACATATGCACATACATATGTACATATGTAACTTCCCACCTTGATAAAATTGATATTGCGGATAGTAGTTGTAAAAAGGCAATTTATACTTTTATACACCGTTAGCTTTATGACATCAATGCATATTTTGCTACCTTAATAAATCCAAAGATTTTCACCAATAAATCCAGTGCAATAATATCGACAGACATTTATAATGGATAAGTAACACCAATACATAAATAAAGATAATGGAATACTATTATTCTACCTCATACTAGTATTTAAACAATAAGGACATAAGTATTTCATGAAATACTTTGGGACATAAATCGATTAGAATTATTTAAATAAGTTATTATATGAAATAGTTAAGAAAATAAAATCGAAGCGCCATTCTTTTAAAACTGGAAAATATCTGAATCCTCCATTTAGAGGGAAATATCGTGACAAATATGGCGATTTATCTGACATATATATATTTTTAGTTTTTAAAATATTAAAAAATATATTATTTTAAAAATAAATAAAATATCACCAATTTGATCTTTTACAGGCGGATTAAATATTTTTATGTTTAAGAAGATGGTCCCTTAGAAATATTTACATTTAATATGTATATATGCGAAATAAAAAATGTTAAGCCATGAACCCTAAACCATGCAAATTTTAAAATTTTCCTAAAATTATATTTAAAATATAAAGTGGCAGTTAAACCTAAAAATTACCAAAAATTTAAAATATTTTAAATAATTTTTAATAAAGATTGATTATTATTATATTTTAAAACTTTCGCCTTATAAAATCTAGCGATGGCAACTGTAACTGAAACGGGCAACTTGATGGTACCAGCAGGCAATAATGATAGCTACTATAAATACTAAAATATTCTGACAACCACATACAAACACATGCATATTTATGGGTACTTGATGTGCGTAAATGTTATTTACAAGTACGAATTGGATATCATATCGCTGCGTTACCCGTTTCCTTTATCAGATCGAAAAGCAATAAAAATTGTTTTATCTTTCAAGTAGTAGCAAAGGTGCTACTATTAGGAGTGTTTTGTATTTTCGCCTCCTTCGAATTATTGTTACTGCACTCTCGTATTTCAAAGATAAAGAATACTAATATTACCCATAAATAACAAAATATTAGGAAATAAAACAAAAAAAAAAAACAGAAAAGAAACTATACTAACAGAACGTTAGCACTTCATAAATCGCCACAAAAACATAACATATTAAAAGAAAAATGAAATAAAAATTATATAAAAACTGTTTTATCTTATTATCGCGTCTAACAATCATTTATGACTTCACATATTGATATTAGCTTGCCATTTGTCCGGTTGGTTAGTTTGCAAACTGTGCTTAATAGGCCTGGTTTGTGTGTTTACATTGTATCCGCTGACGATATGCATTTACAGACCGTCTGCTAACGATGATTAGATCAGTATTGTCATATAAAAGAAATTTCAGATAAAAGATTATGTAGCAATGTTAACGTGAATTTTCTTTACACAATTGTATCTATATATATAGAACATATCTCAAAACTTTAATAATCTCGTGCTCATTGACGCAGTAGATAAGAAAAATAGAATTTTAGATATGTTCAGTAAATTAGGTAACTCTATTTGGAAATCAATTTTTTTATTAATTGAAACAGTAAATTAAAGTGCAAAGACTCCCTCAACTTTGTTATAACAAAAATACATTAGTGGATTCATCACTCTGTCTAGGAGCGACCATTTTCATATAAATTTTTATTGTTGGTAGCAGTGGCCAAATTTTAGTCCAACGTAGTGGTGTAGCTTCGTAATAATTTCTACACAATTTTGCTTCCATTAACTCAATTTGGTTTTCAAATCGTATTTCTATTTGATTTCTTTTGCTTACGAATAAGTTAAAAGTAAGGGTAGTGAAGCTTTAAGCTGTCTGTAAAGTCTTTTCATCACACTTCCTTTTATAAGAATTTTTTTTATAAGAATTTAAAGACATTAACTTTTTTGAATAGGTTTTCATCAAGCGAGCGCTACTTTACAATGCTCCTTTATCATAAAAAGAACTTATCAAAACGATCGCGCTACCTTCTAGATTATAAAATAAATAGTTAGTCGTTTTGAGGTTAGTCGGATTTTTTTAACTTATCAAAAATACTAGCCTGTTCTATAGTTGGGTTGTATTAGCATCGGGTTTTTTTAATCTCAAAATATCAAAAAGTTTTCCATACAAGGACTGTGTTTTGACTGTATGACAGTTATATCCTATAGTGGTCCAATATCGGCGGTTTCGACAAATAAGCAACTTCTTGGAAAAAGGACGTGTGTAAAATTTCACATCGCTATACACACAGACTGGCTGACATGGCTAAGTCTACTCGGCTGGCTATGATGCTCATTTATATTATATATAAAGTATATAGGGTCTTTGCCGTTTCCTTCTGTTGTTCAGAGTATAAAAAGCGTTTATATTAAGCATGATTTATAGCTAAATTTTGCTTACTAAATGCAAATTCTTGGAATTCCTGCTGGGTTAGTAGTTATCTCATTTCTCCAAATGGAAACCTGCAAGCCAACTATCGCTTAAATCTCTGGTTAACCCAAGAGGGCTATCAGAAAGATCTGTTAAAGTTTCTAAGAGTCTCTTAAGGCCGAATTGATAAACCTTACCGAAACTCTTGTGTACGTGTGATTGTTCATCCATTTCATAGCTTATTAGTTGCACGAAGTATATGTGTTAGTTTCACGCTAATTCTTTCAATGTATTGGATATTCGGTAGTCGTGTCTTGCTGGGTAAAGAATGTTTAGAAATACATACCTAAAAATATTCTCGATATACTAAACAGTTTGTTGTAATGCTATAATATCAAAAAAGGAGCAAATAGAAAACCTCTGCATTGATTCTTACTATCGATCGTTTTTTCTTACTTCACTCAAAATTTTATAAGGTCCTCGATTTTTGGCTATATACAATAAAAGTAGTAAGATTTACTTTATATATTTGAGTGCATTTATTTGCTTATGTAAATATTCTCAAATTTTTAAATGATGATTGGATACCTAATTTTCTACAGCGTTGTACAACTCGAATTTATCTGCTTGAATGGCTGAGATAACAAACTATTATTATTTTGTTTTGCTACAAGAAAAGACCTACAATAAAACGTATATATGTACATATGTATGTATGCACCTCAGTATATCATTGCCATAGCTTTGCCCTCTTCTGATTCGATAAATGTTTATCATAATCAGGAGAAAATACATAAACGATTTTCTATTGGTCGTGCCTTTAATGAATGCTGAAATTACAGAAAAATAAGGTAACGCCCTTTGCAGTACTTAGTAGTCTTAAAATATGTACTATTGATAAGGATATATACACGATACAGGTAATGAGCGAAGGGCTAGTGAAAATTTTGATTTTTGATGAAAAATTTACGTGAAAAAGTTACATTTTTGAATCGATCTGTCCAGCCGTTGACTCTAAAAACAGCGTTTCGAGAAAATCTCGTTTGAAATTTTAGGAGCAGATTATACTAAATTAACAAACGATCATATCCCTGAAACTATTTATCGAATCATATTCATATATATTTTCTGAAAATATATGCACATTTGATATAAATATAAGCAAATAAAAAAGAAATATTCATTTAATTATTTTATGAAAATATATGCACATTTGATATAAATATAAACCAAAAAAATTTATTCATTTTAAGTTTTGGGCTTAAATATATATTTTTTGACCCATCTATAGTGTAAATTTTAATAATGAATTTATTAATTTTCAAATGTTCTTGTATATTTTTATTATTTATTAAGTATTCAAGCATTTTTATACAGTCACATGTTTTTAACAAACAATTTTGTTTCTTGGTTTTTTTTAAAAATAATTTTGATATATTTATGTAAAAATTAGGCCTTGAAATTTTGTATGGATTTTCAACCCTCCGTAATTACATATGTATGTATTGTATGTAGTAAAAAGATAATAAGAACATATGTATATAATAACAGTAGTATTTTTACGTTAAAATCTAGAAAGCGTTCCCAAACTTCAAAAAGTTTTAAATATAAGTAATTATTCTCGTAGAAGACTTTCAAAAATATTGTGATTACTAATATTCAAAATTAAGAATATTAACAAGAACGCGGATATTTACAGAATGACAACATAATTTTACCTGGATATCAAACTATATGTGTTTTCGTATTTGTGGAATCCTTGAGCTGTAAAAATTGTTCTTTGCATTAAAAAATAATCGAACGTATAACATTTTCGGTAAATCATTTTTAGCTGGTCCGCATAGATTAACAACACAAAATTCAATGATGAACTAAAGCAAATCCTTCTTCACAATATAAAATAGGTACTATAAAGTCCCACTGACTTATATTGTCATCGATGTATGCCGCGCAGATTTTCCAGTTGTTAGACAAAAATATCCATGATGTGCGTGAATTATAAGATCATTTCATCACATATAGTAAGAAGAAGATACCTGAATCGCACATAATCTTCAAGAAAATTATAAAAAATTATTAACGTGCTATACCAAAAGTTGTAACTAACATCTGTTGCAATTTGTAGACGATAAATCTCTATCTAAAGATAGAAGTTAAATAGTTTCGAAACATATGTGTAGCATTCAGAATGGAAAGTAGCGTTTGGTGAAGTTTTTAATGGAATTATGGGCATTATCATCATCAAGACAGTGCAAAATTATCTGCTTTGGCTATGCTTTAGCATAACCTGTATATTTTGTAATAATACATTTGTTTGTTAGGATTTGATTTGAGATACATAATTGAAAGCAGAAAGATCTTACTCAGCGGCTGGAGATCGCCTACGGGATCAATGTATTTAAAGTACAGACATTTATTTTACATTATATTACTGAAAATTAAAAAAAATGTTTTAAAAGCCTTAAAATCGGTTATTTAGTCATGAATATTTAGTTATTTTTTAAAATTAGTTATAAGATCTTCACGTCGTTGTAAAACAACTAACTGCTATCAGCCGAATATTTTAATATTTCAAAGTTGTTGTTGAATTCATGTCAGATATATTCGCGTAAATTTGTATGTATATACGCATAAATAAATTAAGAAAAATACAAATGTATAATGACCATAAATAGAGACATATAGATGCACATACATAGAAACATACATATATTGGGTGCAAAGTATAAGCTCACAATAATAGAACCTATTTGGTATTTATTTCTACAAGTGTTCATATTCTTAACATCCAATGCTTTTTAAAAGTCAACATTTATGAAAATTTCAAGCACTTGGATCATTATTCAGTACAAAATGCGATTATCTACAAGGATTTATCGCATTTTCAATGAACTTTAATCAAAGTTTATCATAACAAATATGGATTATTGGAAGGCGCTTCGCGACTGCCCAATCGCTGACAGACATAAGTTGGGTACATAATAAACATACATATGTATATATGTGTGTCACAAGTCCCTTATTTTCTTATTGTAAATATATATAATCATATTTATATATGTGTGTTGATGCCTACACTTCTCTTTATACATACATATGTACATATAAAAGTTACGCTTTACTAACACAAGCTAATGCCATAACTTAATATCAGTATTTTGATTTCTGAGATGAAATGCGGAACTAACATTATGTACTATAAAATATTTGTGTCATCAGAGAATAAGCTGGGCTGATCAGTGATCCTACTCATAAGCGGACGGAGCTTGTCGGCGATATAATATTGGACATATTATTGCAGATGTGAGCATACATGCTAGCATGCTTGTGTGTGTGACTCATATGTATTTGTGCTGTATCGTGCTAGAGATGCTTCAAAAAATTTAGACACGCTCGAGTCATGCACGGACTTTTACACACAGTTATTTCAAAAAAAAAAAACACAACTATAGAACAAACAAAAAATAATAAACGTTGACCTGTACATACATATATTAAGTGAGAAATATCTCTGTTTTGTAGTCGGTTGATATTACTTATAGACTGGGTATTAATGGCGGAGGATTTTCGTTTCGTACACCTATACATACGTACAAGTGCTTATACGCTCATAGATATGACTGCGCCAAATGGATCATCAGCGTTCGTATGTGTGGCTGGTTAGTTGGGTTGGAGGTCGTGTAGGGTAGAAGTGTGCGGTTATTTCGTGATTATTGAGAACAAGAGATAATATTGTTTTTAAGTAGATGTTGGCGCTGGTTGGTTGGTTTAGCTGTCTCATTCACAGCAGCGACATCGGTTATTTCCATCGTAATGAAAACGGCTGCTGCAGTTGTTGTGGGATACATGTACTACCAACAAATATACTATCTATTTACATATAGATGTACATTCATTGGAGCGTCGTTTTTAAGATTTTAGCTCTTATCGAAATATTTTATGTATTGATTTAGTATTTATACATTTCATATATTTATTTCATATGCTGATAACATCTTCACAGTATATTTGACCTCTTTCATTTTTACAGTTTTATGAAATCATGAATACTCATACGAGAAACAGTAAACGTTTGTATAAGCATCTGAATTAGTCCATAAAATATACACATACTCGTATACCCTACTCGTTGCTCCCCTTTCTGACTTCTCAAATGTACATATGCAAACGAAAGATATTTAACTGTACTTTTGTAGGCTTATACAACAGTCCGAAGCATTTATACGCTCGTGCTCATTATCTATGCATCTATGGTAAACTTAATAGATAGTATTTATAATTATATTAAGTAGAGTGTGAAAATTCTTTGTTTGAAATTAGCTGGAGGTTTCGAAAAGATACTCTAAGATTGCAATTTTATTTTTGGTTCATGCAAATTGTTTTTTTTATAAAGTATAAGTTGTATCCGAAGTGTTCGGAAACAATCTGATGCACAATTTATGCACTTTTGTCATTCAACTTAATTTTCGCTGTAGTAAACTATTTATGAATAATTGTTACAACGTAGTGCCCGGGGCAACACTATGTTAATCAGGCATTTGTTGGTACCTTAAACAGGGTAAGCTTGCCACGAAATTTGTAACATACAGAAGAAAAAGTTAGAAACCCGTACTCTAGTCTGTCTTTCTGTATATTCGCTTAATAGTTCCTCAGTTTTCGAAATATCGATTCGAAAATTCCCCACACGTCCGTTTCTCGCCAATAAACTGCTCGTTTACCGGAACTGCCGATAGCTCAAAAGCAAGATCTTGTATGAAAAACTTTTTTATTTCTCAAGATATCTATACGAAATTGAGCACAGATTATCGATCCAAGCAGCACTACAATTTCCAAACAACATGACTGATCAAAACCAAGATAAAGATCTTCATAAAAGATCTTTTTATAGCGCTTTGATTAGCTTCACCTGTTTGTATGTTTCTAACTTTTCCCTGTGCAAGTGATAACTTCAGTATAAATTGAGATATCTTGCTGAAACTTGCCATCGAACCACTGCCACGCCCACGAAACGCCATAAAAATAAAATCTATAGTGTGCGATAACTAAGCACTTAATTAAGACACCGAACTAAAATTTTTTTAAAAGAGCGTGTAGCACCGACCCGTAAAGGGTTTAATGTACATATGACTATACATTTATGCAGCTTAAAGCACCAACTATCCATGCTGTCATCTGAATAACAAATTTACTCAAAGCCAAATAAATAATAATACAAAAAACCATGCTTTTATAGCACATTCAATAAAAAAGGGGCAAAAAATATTATTTAAACAAGAAAAAACGTTAACATCGGTTGCACTGAAGCTATAATACCCTTAACAAATATAAAGGTTTCTTACAAGAACTTAATTCTTCGAAAATTCAATTTGTATGACAGCTTAATGATATAGTGATCTGATCTGAACGATTTCTTCGGAGATTGCAATATTGCCTTAAATAATAATCCATGCCAAATTTTGCTTTTCTTACAATGATACAAGTATTTTTCGGTAAATATTTGTTTTTTAGTTTTTAATAAAATGTTTCCCTTACTAAGTAACCTTAATTCGACTTTCGTGTCTAGAAAGAACTCCTTCCTTTGGATGCAAACCGTTTGACGGCTCCGTTTTCAGATTTCGTTACACATATATATATTTAGTTGCCATAGGAGATGCACCTAAGAAGGGTATTATGACTTCGGTGCAGCCTTTTAATTAATATAATTTGTGAATACGAGTATATACTAGTACATATATTTTATACCACATTTCTCAGTCATTTACTACAGCAGATATTTTTCTTGCATATTTCTTTGTAGTTATACTAAAAGATGTCACCTTCAATATTATGTGTGAACTACTGGAATTCATGTATCAGGGTGTGGTAAATGTCAAGCACACTGAATTACAATCTTTCATGAAAATTGGTCAATTGCTACAAATCAAGGGTCTCGCCACAAATGCCTCATCAACAGCAGGTAATACAACGATGGATAAATCGGCCAGTCAAACTCACAATGCCGATGAAGCGAGTAACGCATGTACAGATGCTGATAATAATAGTAGTGAGACCGCAGCAAAAACAGGTTTAAACCGGGCGGCAAGTGAAAATGATGATGCTAATGCCTCTGATGGGCTATCAAGCGTGAAAGTGTCCAATCCTATTTCGGTGAAATCCCATTCACCCGCATCATCACCATCACCCATGAGCTTTGCCGAATCAACTGTTAATGTTAATCAGCAAAATTTCAAAAGCTCACCAGAGAGAAATTTACCGTTGCATCCGAATTATCATGCGGGTTCAAGTCTCAAACGGCATGCAGATGTTAATAATGCCGCCCTATCAATTTACTCGCGTAAACAATTCCGTCGCTCGATAACTTCAGCCGATCACAATACCGATCATAGTGACAGTGCCGATGCGGATGCTGAATCCGATTATTTCCTACCGTCACTTCCACATTTGGCATCTAATTCATCAGCTGCGGCGGCGGCAGCGGCTTTTAGAGGCACCTTCAATCCTGCTGCCTTCGGGTTTGATTATAATTTATACAAAAATAGCAGTGCTGGCGGTGCAAGCGGCATTGGCGGTGCTTGTGGTGGCAACACATCTGGTGGTGGTGGCCAAGAGTATCCGAATGACTTGCATATTCCCAGTGATTATTCAAAGAACTTCGCAAATCATGTTGATATTCCACCAAGTATGTATCGAATGTTATTGTTTTGTATTAAAAAAAATTATTTTGTATACGCGAGCCTACAATTATCCCCGTATTTTCATACTATCGTAAACTACCATAAAATTCTAAACTCTAACATACTTATTTAATTGATATGTAGCTATGGTTCATCCGATATTATTTGTTGTTTTTTCTTTTTATGTTGCATTGGCTTTTTATGCTTTGTTTTAAATGCATGTACATACATACTTACTTGTATATACGACAGTAACTGTACTAACATTAAAATAGTATTTATTTGTATAGAGAGTTCGTGGTCTCTTCTGTGCTCTGCTTAAACGAGTGTCAATATATAGAAATCTAGGAAGGAATAATTATGAACGCGAATTTTTAGTAATATTTAATATCGAAATAACTGATATAGGCCAAATATACTATCTTCGGTCAACTTATGGTGGCCTCTGCTGTACCCCATAATTTTGAAACCAAAGTCCTATCGAAGTCCTTCTACCTATTCAATGTATGAGGAAACTGGTCTATTCTTAAAATCTCAAAATTCAATTCTTCAACATTATATCATAATCAACAGTTAGTTATCTTTGTTAACTTAATTAGGTTAGTTCTTTTTCAAATTCAATATTATTCAATATTGATCTTGCCGAGTTATGGATACAATTCTTAAACTATACTATCTATTATATTACGCCTAAACTTTTAGATACACATATTTGAATGAAATTTTAACAATATTTAACCATATAATTGGCTGATTCTAGCAACAAATCGAATTTATCATAATCAAGTAGATATTTTTCTCTTAACTTAATGTGAAATTTTGATAAAGAATTTTTGAGGGAATGTCGAAATAACACAAAATTGTCACAAGCTTATAAACATAACCTTATTTTCTTATGAACTGAGCAACAATACTTTATTAATATATTATATTAAATAAGATAACAAACAATAAGTAAGGAATTTTGCTATTTAATTTATTGATCCTCTTCGTATTTAGCTGTTGGAGCATAGTGATTTTCTTGGATATAACTTTTTTGTTTATATCATATAAAAAATAAATTTGCTTCACAAGTTTGTACAATAAAAAGACTTTTCTTACTTTACAATTCTGGTTCGTAAAAATACTTAAGGACATAAATTTCGATTTTTTTGAGGATCAGCCAAATTCTTTCTTTTCTTAACCTTTTTTTTATTTCTCATCAAGCATGTATTTATAAATGTATCTGTATATATTTTTTAACAACATTACAAGTATATGCGTACTGCAGCAACTTTATTAATACAATTTGTGTCAACATGTAATCAAATTATCGGAGAGTGACTCACTAAAAATTATCAAGTGATCTAATAAGAAATATATGTACATTTATATATCTGTTCTAATATAACCTATTGTATATTGCAAACAATTAAGCTTTTAGAAATTTCGCTTTATTGGTGGCGGATAAAGTAAAAAACCTCCTAGCTACTTGCAGCACACTTAAAAATATTCTTCTGAAGTTGTTTAGAGGTAACTGAATTGAGATGACAGAATCAAAATTTTAAGCGGATAGTATTCAAAGCAAAAGTAAACTCATTATTTAGATTGTCTGTGTTAAGTCATGCATGGAACATACTTCTCGATTGCACCGAAATCGTAATCCGGTGAAAGAGCATATCACATTCATTAACCCAGGAGCTTTTCTAAACCTCTTAGATTCGACTGGGTGAAATGTGATGATGTGTTAATAGTTGAAGGTACAATAGATCATAGGTCGTGGTGTATTTCTCAACTTTTTATAAAATCAAAGTTTATAAACATAGCAAGAGATCTTGTGTATATTCGCACCCATCATTGACGATTTGCATATTATGTTCCGCAGCTGTAGCGATCGGCTGTAGCTGTAGTTATCGGCTGAAACGTACAATTTGTGGAAAATCAAGGAAACACTAGTTTATATTAGACTTTATTTAACTCATATAGGCTTGATCAAAATCTACTAAATGACTGACGGGTAAAAGGTAAAATACTCGATGGTAGACGTTTTAAAAGCCCCTGTACATAGTATATCAACCGAAATTTAGACTTGAGGTAATGGGTGAAACATTTATCGACGAGGAAGAAGAAACAAAAGCATGAGGATGTTTTGTCGAAATTGTTGAAGTCCAAAATTTTATTTTTTTATATTAAGTCCTGATCATAAAAACATACATAAAGTAGTCTGGGATTAGTAGTTGTTGTAAAAAACTCAATATCTAGAAATAAGCTTTCAGATCAATTTATAATCCCCATTTAAGTGTTAATTACTAGATGTTTGAGTAGTTAAAAATATAATTTTAGAATGAAGTATATATGCGTCGTTCATTGTAATAGCGAACCTTACTCCTTGCAATTAGAAATGAAGCAACTGCGGACTTACTTTACTTTTATATCCATAACTATTTGGTATAAATTATTGTATGAGGCAACGGTACAATCTCCAAAGTGTTCAAATCGGATCACTATAACACGTAGCCATAACAACTGAACAATTAAACTCAAGATAAAGAACTTCATAAACGATATTTTATCCTTATTAAGCATTAATTCGACTTGTGGTATCAAACAACGTGGCTATAGAGCTAGCAAAACGTTGACTGGCTATGTTCTTCGATTTAGTTTTACATATAATTGCAATTAGAAATGCTCCTGTGAAGGGTATTATAGCTTTGGTGCAGCTGAAATTAGTGCTTTTTTCTTTTTTATATTATAGTTTCCGCCTGTAATTTGGCAGCATTTTCATTGTATTTGAATCATAATTATATATTATATATAAATTATAAATGAAAAAGGCATTTAATTGTAGAAACCTAAACTACCGCAATTAAAAATATACAATACCTAGACTATTGAAATGTTCATACATAGGTATTTAAAATAAATATTAAATAACCACAGCAACACTGTACATATTAATGCACATACTTACAACTTAAACTATGTACATACATACCTACATACATGTGTGCCGCACATTCAGTCCCCACGCAGTATCCTCTTTAGCTAAATTTACTGATACTTACACTTTTGGTATTTTGACTATTTAAACGCTATTCTCTGTAAATAATTCACTTTGAATCCTTCAAATGCACAATCGACTTAATCCAATATTAATGCATTAATGCACAAACAATTTCACGTTCAGTTTCTTCATATTACTACAAATATTTTATGTAATATGTTTATATATCCGAATGATATTAACATATTACGTATTTACTTTATCTTTGGCCATTGACTTTACCGATGCCGAATGCGCTCTGGGTGTGTGCAAACAACTTGGGCGACAACAACACTGACTATGTTCGTAACCTTACCTCGCGCTACCGCAACATATATATGTATGCATGTGCTTGTTGTAGACAGCAGCAATGTGGTGATGCTCTCATCGACGTCATTGTTGCACGGTAGCTGCGTCTTTAATCGCAACAACACCGTAGCCACACAGCAAGGTATGAAAACCTATTGGCTCTGCAAGTCCTATCGCATAAGCATGTGCCGAGCGCGCTGTATAACGCATCAAGGGCGCGTCATATCCGCAACCGGTGTGCATAACCATCCGCCACATATGCTCGGAAGTGGTCCAGGTGGTGGCATGGGCAACAATGGGGTAGGCAACAGTAATGCAAGCGGTGGTGGGAATAGCGTAGGCTTTCCCATCGATGTCAATGCACAACAACCATCCTCTGTGGCAACCTCTAACACGCCCACAATAAATTTCAACTCCATTAATATGGCTGGTGTACTGTTGCCCGGCGGTAGTAATTCAGCGGCAAATGTGAGTACCACCACTGGTTCACGACTACATCATTCTACAGTAAGCGGTGCCATTGGTACGACGATGTATCAACAGCATAATTCTATGCATAACTCTCCAGCGCAACAATTACAGTTACACCATCAGCATCAACATCAAAATCAATTGCATACAGTGGGTGGTTCATCTCCGCCACCAGCAATGTCGGCCGGCTTGATGGGCAACTCACATCTACATGGGCACTCTACTACATCGGCAACTAGTTTATTAATGTCACATCACTCGGCGCCTGACAGTGGCAGCATGGCCGGCAACGCACATCATCATCACCAGCATCACACAATCGTTGGCTCAGGAAACGGTGGCGTGGGCGGTGGTTCGCAAAATTTGCATTCGAACAGTGTAATACAGAATATTTTGCATAGCGCGAATGCATCGAATGCCATGCACCATCATCACCATTCACAATTGCCACATATGTCGCATTTGTCGCAGAATCAACATCACCAGCAACACGAACCGCATTTGGAAATAACACCGCTGATGCAATCGCCCCCTCTTCTGCCGCCCCCACCGCTGCATCTGCCAAGTCCATCGAATCAAAGTAATCTGTCACAGCATGGTAGCGGTGGCGCTAATTCGCTTAGTTCGCCAATAACAACAACAGCGGCTTCCGCTCTCAGTGGTAGTGCACTCAAATCACCTGCGCAAACGAATCTCAGAGACGAGGCGATCTGTGTGTCTGAGGCGCAATCTCATTCAGTTCATTCTGCGCATCTCAGCGAACAACGTCAACATATGCTTAGCCATGGGAACACACTATCCCCGTCCGAAATAAATTCAAGCACCGCCGTCTCATCGCATTCAACAGATGGAGCGAATGAGTCGCAACATCAGGCGCACGTCATCGACTCCATAACAATATCACCAGGCGAAGGACATAGTTTCAAAATGGAAGATATGTAACTGTTAAGTTCTTTGACGACAAATTGCGTTAGCAGAAAACGATAATATGACTCAGCGTAAAGCGTTCGAAACGCAAAGTCCAACTCTTTCCCTTTATTATAATTATTACATACTTACATATATACAAGCCAATGGAGAAATTAAAAAATTGTTAGTTTTAAGAAAAAAAAATGTTGCAATTGTGATAAATTGGGTGATAATGGTGAGTAAAGGATATAACATGGAAAATCACGTTACCACGACAGTCGGGTCTAAGTATCCGGACGGACCCAGATTTTTATCCGGCCAAGGGCTGTCAACTCGGCAGTATTCCCCCAAATTACTTCAGAGATGTTTTCTGCCGCTAAAAACGTATGCGAAGCTGGTAAGTCAAAAATATTCAGTAACGTCGAAAAGGAGTTCGTTGTAGGTTACGACTATTTAGTAGGAAGTATTAATGAGAAGAGAAGTGTTTTTCTACACAAATTAACGATACTCAAAAAACTATATAAGTTCTCCAAGGTTTTAGTTTCTAAAACACGGTAGCATTCCGTAACTGGGATTTGGGCAATATTTCATCATATATGCACATACATATATAATTTATCTGAATTGAATTAGCTATGTAATATTTTGAGGAGAATCGATAATTTTTTGGTGAAAAATTATTTACTAGCAGCAATTTGCACCAGAAATTACAAAAAAAAAAACGTAGAAATTATTTACTACATATGTATGTATGTTTAAATCGGTTTTATTTTCCAAGAATAGATATATGTACAATTTTTTAATTAAGCACAGTAAAACAAATCAATATGAAATATTTTTAACAGTTAAATATTTATTTCAAAATTTCGCGCCGTTAATAAATTCGTTTGTTTCAGACGACCACAAAAGTACGTCGAACATATTACCATTAACAAAATTATCTAAATCTCATTAATAGTGGTTTTGAACTGAAGTTAATTTTAGTGACTTTATCTTCATATACAATTTTTTAAGGTATGTTTATGTTTACATATGTACATACATACATATATAAACTCACATTGTTATATTTTAATATCTACATAGAGTGAATTCGTTCCTACATCACACGTTCTATTGCATGCATCGGTAGCCGTCATACCTACGTAAGTTCCGAACAAAAATAACTGTAATAGGTGTACCAAACTCTGTAATTTGAACGTTCATGATGGTGTAACACATGTATACATACGCAAAAAATTCATATTGGAATCCATGTGTTTTGTCCATGGAATGATCAAATTTCACATCATTTTAACGAAATCATCTTAATTGATAGCTTAACAAGAACTCACTCACATACATACACACGAACAATTAATTAGTAAAATTACAAACGAAAAGTATCTATGTATAACAATTTGAAATCTGTATTAAATTGATTTACTTTTATCTATGATATAGTTGCTCCTGGTGAGCACTGGTTTCACGGCAAATTGGAGTTTATGCTGAGCCAACGTGGAAAGCCTCTCCTAGTACATGACGGTCATACATTTGGCATCCAATATGTGCGCAAGGATAAGAAGTATTGGCAGTGCAATTTATCACGAAAATTCAATTGTAAGGCCCGTGTCACTACCACTGACACTGGCGAGATAATTGTGACCAACAACGAACACTGTCACACTGAAATACGCCAGCATTTACGCAAAGATTATCAACGAAATAAAGTAATGATGAATGCGCTGCTAAACCTTAGCACAAACATCAGACGTCAGAGCAGTAATGGGAACAACACTAACAATTTAAATAATTTAAGCAATTTCACAGCACTGGCTACTCATGGTACCAATTTAATTAATGCGGCAGCTACAGCAGCAGTTATGAGTGGGGCCGGTGGCGCCAGTCTGCAGAGCTATCGTAGCGAATGTTTAGAGCAGCAGCAGCAACAACATACTCCTGGTGTTGTGGATTTTACAAAAGACAGGAGCACGAACTCACCATCATCACGCATAACTCCTAATATACACAATCAACCTATAATAAATGAACATGTAGACTTATCTAGGCCGTTGGACTGTGGTTTTCGACAATCTACGACGACTACAGTACCAAATGATTTTGAGAAAGAATTAAATAGTCGCGATAGCAGCTATAACGGTGCAACGTGGAAGTGCAAAAACGAAATTGGAGACTCCTGAAATAAATGTACACGGTCGGAAATAACACAAAACTATTTTTAAGATTAAAGCAATCATGCACTTCCATTTCAACAAGTTTTGTCAGAATTAGGAAGATTGCATTGATGCTGGAAAATACTCGTACTTGTTACACTCAACTTACAACAGCCAAATCCAAAGAATTTTTATCTACCTATTTTATGACATTATACAATATTAAGTTACACGTTTTTAAAACTTTTTTCTAATAAAATAGAATTTGGGGAAAATATTTGTTTTTATTTTTCATTTCCATTTATACAAATCGGTTTACTATAAATGGTACAATAGTCTCCAGTTTTAAATATTAATAACGCGACTCAGTTTCTGAATACGGTTTAGTAACAGATCACCCTGTTTAATTGTGGCCTGATATTGCCAGTTCTTGTTGTCGGGGCGATTGGTTTCGACGATGCCGCCGACTCGGTCCACCTTTGCATGCAGTCGTCCAGCAGCAATGAATCGTGACAGTTCTTGGTCTATATAGTCTACATCCACTCCGAATGCCTCAGCCATGTATTGCAATGTTAACGAACGATAGGACTCAAGCAGCTGCGTGTATGCTAGAATGCGCATTTCGCGTACATAAAAGCGATAGTGCGGATTTGCTAGGTAGTCACCACGTAATACTAATTCTACATCAGCCAAGTGTTTGAAGAATTCGGCATAATGACAGTTGTATAGAGCAAAGAGATATTCTTTTACATCTGGAAGGCCATGAAGTACCTCCTGAATTTCTGCGCCTCTGACAACTTTGTCACGCAATTCATTACGTGGTAAAGAAATCATTGCTACGTAAACAGTATAGCGAACAAAAGTTGGATAATCCATCAGCTCATAGGATGTGAATGTGCTTACAGTATCCAAGAAAAAATTTGCAGCTGCTTTAAAATCACGCACTGCGACCGAGTATATTCCTTGATATACTTTTAATCGATTACGACGATCCCAATCGCCACCTTCTTCAATAAGATACTTTGCCTTATCAATATTGCGTGTTATTAAATCATGGTCCAAGTAGAAGAGACCAAGTCGGATAAGGTGAAATATTATATCTAAACGATGTCCAAGCGAAACCGTTTTTTCATATGTTTTACGGAAGGCAGTTTCGGCAGCAGTTTTGTCACCAATTCGACACAAATATTCAGACTTTTTCAAATTTGCTTCGCGCACCTCCATTTCACCCAAATTTTTTTCGGCATCTTCTATAGCGTCATCTAATTTAGTTAACTCTATACGGTTTTGTTCACGCATACGAGCAAGCAGATCTTTGTCAACTGGCCAATTAAGCTCAACACAAATATGCTCATACCAAGGAGCCATATTGTCAACGCGAACTGCTTCTAGTAATTTTTCTTTTAAGGCAGCATCTTGTTTATGCTCCGGTAATGACAACAGAAACTTATACTGTGCTAATTCGAGTTTTGGGTTCTTTTCCAAACCTTCTTCTTCCAAGTTTTCGACAGGCATTTTTATTTAGCAATAACTAATATATAGAAATTACAATTCACAAATGTACTCGCCAATATCACACTAAAATAATTTTTTTGTTGTTCAAGCCGCAAAGTCATGCACAGCAAAGTTGGTTGCGGTTGTTTGGAAGCGTTCATGTTGCATTCATCATTAAATCGTTTTTGAATTTATTTAAAATTGTAGCATTTTAAATATTTTTCATATTAAAGGTACTTTGGATAAATTTTTGTGTAAGAAATAGGCTTAATCTAAGATTAGTGTACTATGAAATAATATTGAAGAAAAAGTAATATTTGCCAAAATGCAACTATGCGCTGTAGGACGAATTTGATGACAGTTGTGAAGAGTATTGAAAAGAGGGTGTTGATCGATAATCGCATAAAAGTGAAAAATTAATAAACTTATCTTCAGTTGGGCGTATTGTGTTAATTGATTGTATTAAATAAATAAGAAAGTTCTTTACTAGAAATGATTGGTGGATTATTTGTATATAACCACAAGGGTGAGGTATTAATTAGCCGTGTATATCGAGATGATATTGGTCGTAATGCAGTGGATGCTTTTCGTGTCAACGTCATCCATGCAAGGCAGCAAGTGCGTTCCCCGGTGACAAACATCGCACGGACCAGCTTTTTTCATATTAAGGTATATGTTATAAAATGAGTTTGTAATGCCTATTTCATTGCAACAAGTACTCTTTTAGCGTGCTAATATCTGGCTGGCTGCAGTCACAAAGCAAAATGTGAATGCAGCAATGGTATTTGAATTCCTATTGAAAATTATAGAAGTGATGCAGTCATACTTTGGTAAAATTTCTGAAGAAAATATTAAGAACAACTTTGTTCTAATATATGAACTGCTCGACGAGATTCTTGACTTTGGCTATCCGCAGAACACGGACTCGGGCACGCTGAAGACGTTCATCACGCAACAGGGTATCAAATCGGCTACTAAGGAGGAACAAATGCAAATCACCTCACAAGTGACCGGTCAGATCGGCTGGAGACGTGAAGGAATAAAATACCGTCGCAATGAACTTTTCCTCGACGTGTTGGAGTACGTGAATCTGCTTATGAGTCCTCAGGGGCAAGTGCTCTCTGCCCATGTAGCTGGAAAGGTCGTTATGAAGTCTTATCTTTCAGGTATGTTTTGTTTCTTAAGTATATAACTAATGCGATCTTATAAATTTATTCTAAATCGTATAAAAACAGGTATGCCTGAATGTAAGTTTGGTATCAACGATAAAATAGTTATGGAATCCAAAGGCCGTGGCATCGGTGGTAACTCTGAAGCTGAAACTTCACGTTCTGGTAAACCTGTTGTTGTCATCGATGACTGTCAGTTTCATCAATGCGTTAAATTGAGCAAATTCGAGACAGAACACTCCATTAGTTTTATACCACCTGATGGAGAATTCGAGCTCATGCGCTATCGTACCACAAAAGATATTTCATTACCATTCCGGGTTATTCCACTTGTACGTGAAGTTGGCCGAACTAAAATGGAAGTAAAAGTAGTACTCAAATCGAATTTCAAACCCTCGCTACTGGGTCAAAAAATTGAAGTAAAAATTCCCACACCGCTGAATACTTCCGGTGTACAATTGATTTGTTTGAAGGGCAAAGCTAAATATAAAGCCTCTGATAATGCAATTGTTTGGAAGATCAAGCGTATGGCGGGAATGAAGGAAACCCAACTCTCAGCTGAAATCGAATTATTAGAAACAGATACAAAGAAAAAATGGACACGCCCACCCATTTCAATGAATTTCGAAGTACCATTCGCGCCCTCTGGCTTTAAAGTACGCTATTTAAAAGTCTTCGAACCAAAGCTCAATTACTCTGACCACGATGTAGTAAAATGGGTACGCTACATTGGTCGCAGTGGGCTTTATGAAACTCGCTGTTAAACAGATCATTGATACAGTCGGGCAGAAGAAAAATGAATTTTCCGATTGGTATTCGCAATCAAATTGTACACATTATATTCCACAATAGTTCTTTAATATATATTCATCATTACCTACATAAATATATGCATATTATTATTTAATCACAACTGCTATTATATGTATGTATATTTCTCAACTTTTTAGCTTTTATTATTAAAATTTTTATTTTTTATTATCAACGCTAACTGTTTAAGTGTTTCTTTATTACGAACAATTTTGTAAATGCAGGACTGAAAATTTCTTATTTTGTTTATCCACTTCAACATAAATGAAACTATTTATGAAAAGCCGAACAGGATATGCTCTACAAAAGAATACTGTTGAAAGACAATGTATGCCAATAGTAAAATCGAATAACTATTTAAATTTTAAGATCATAAAGTGAAAGTGGAGCATTAAAAATTTGTGCTGGCACAACAACTCAAATATATGTATTACCTGTATTAGTTCATTTGTGTAAATTCGCAAATAATTGTCTAAACTGCTAATTTTTCTGTTGTATAAGTATAAACATATATGTAGGATAATAAAATCATTCAAGTACACAAATCTCGAACATATAGAAATATTATAATTATGTTAAAAGTGTTGAATTGATAGTTATGACAAATAAATATTAAATATTATTCAAAAATAGTTGAATTATGTATCAATCTGGTTTTGTGTCTACGCCTTTTAATACAATTTTTTCTAGAGTATGTATTCGAATATTTTTTTCTTTTCCTTTTTTATAAATAGCATCAAAAGATGCATTTGTTTAATGGAAAATGAAGATACTCGTATGTTTGAACATGTTTCTGAGATCTGAAATTGCTTAGCTGCATAAACAAAAATTTCAGCATTTTATATAAAAAAGGGAAATCAATATAATTTTTAATTTTGAAAATTGAATCAGATCAAACAAATGTGGAGAGATGTGAATTAAAGTCTTGACATATACGGCGGAAAGGTTCGATTAGTTCCAAATTTGATATAAGATTTAAACAGTAAGAAGCTAAACTGCCTCGAAAAGCGAGCCAGGATATTACCATAAATTTAACTTCTGACAAGGGAAAAGAACTGCAAACTATTTCATTCAGGACTTTCACTAAGAAAATTATGCCAAGCGGTTAGTAAGTGTAGCTAAATTTGTGGTATATGTTTTAAACGACTAGTGTATGAATGATGATTTAACCTAGCATCCCATCGGAAATGCGATAAAATTAGGCTATAGTTTTTTATTACATAGGATGACAGGCACACAGATCTACGAGAAATGCACATTGTCTTACATTTTTTGAGAATCACTGGTAAATTATTTCTGCCATACCAAGCAAGCAAATTGTTTAAGTCTGTTTGTATATTATTTAAAAAACGTCGGCATACAGTAAAATAATTGAGTATTCTGTAACATAAAAGATATCGTTAATACAATAAATTACAAGAACAGAATCGGGCCAAAATGACTACCGTGCAGAAAACCTGAAGAAACATTAATTGCATCAGAGTAGCATTTAATACCAGCCGCTGTGTATTATAAAGATAAGAATTGAACAAAACGAGAGAATTACTTTATCGAAAGCTTTGCTAATCTGTACCCGTATGCTTATGTTCCCTAAACCCCAATGAAACATAGTTTACAAATTCATTATAAATACATAAAATTGAGGCTTGCACATCGACCTAAGATCTATTGTGCCGTAAATACATGCTGAGGACAAGAAATTACAATTTCCCTATAGTTTTCAATGGATCGCCTAAATCCTCTTTTATGCATAGGGATTACAAATGACTGTTTCCATATGGAAGAAAATATACCTTGTTTAAGAGAGGAATGAAATATCCTTGTCAAAGGCAAGTAGATATATTTGGTACTATTTTTGAGGAAGCATGAAGGTATCATCTGGACCGTAAATAAAAGATAGATATTATTAATAATTGAATTATGGTAATTACAAGAATACAGGTTGTGTTGTTGCGAAATTAAATTAAATTCAAATTTAAAATTTTTAAGAACCTAACATTTCCACTTTATACATTTTACTAGAAGATCCGCCCACGCGTTGCTGGGTTAATGTATACGTTTAATATTATTCTACTAAACTATCCAATACAGTAAAAATATGATTTACGAATAATTACGAAAACGTTTTTGCCGGTATAAGAATCCAAGTTATTGTACTAGAGGTTTAATTCTGGAAATGATTGGCCATTTTAGCCTTGAATCTTGTTTATAGACATTAAAAATTATATAGACAGCGAAAATTAAACCGTTTAAATCTTGTATTTTTCTGTGCAAGGAATGCTTTGAGGGAATGCTTTCACAACTCTACCACTATTTCGATATTTTTTACCATTTGGTAAAGGGATTTTTCATTGTGATCGTATTAATAACATGTTATACCGTCATCGAAACGAAAAAACCAATTATTTATTTCCTTAAACAAATGAAAAAAAAATTTTAATACAAAGATAACTGCTTTAACAATCAATACTTTGCGATACCTAATAATTTTTTATATTCCTGCAACATGTTGCTCCAGAATATAATAGTTTTGTTCACCTAACGGTTGTTTGTATTGCTTAAAAGTTAATCGAGATATATATAGGGTTATATATATACAAATGATCAGGATGACGACACAAAGTTGCAAGCTGTAGCTTGAGTAAAAATTGATATATCTTAATGAAACTTAAAGAATTCACGTTTCTTGGCACTATGAGAAGGTTGGAATTGTAGATGGATGGAATCGGACCATTGAAACGCCCACAAAACGCCATTAATGGAAAACAAAAAAAAATGGGACTGGCGCCGCCCTCTAATAGGTTTAATATACATAAGTATCTCTAAACTACTACAACTAAATCAACCAAATTTGCTCAGAACAAAGTTTTTTTCTATCTTCAACGACTGTGTGAAAATGGAGAAATTGGTTTATAACTCCGCCCACTAACGGTTGTGTTAAAAATTACTAATTACTTTACTGATAAATCAATAAATAAATGCTTCAGAAACCTTCAATTTTACACAAGAGATGTTACAAGATGGCTTTATAGGAGCTGGTGTTAAAATCGCCCACCTTTAAGTGAAATCACATAACTCAGGACTTACTTGACTATTTTCAACCAAAATGGGCTCATAATATTATTTTGACATTTCCATGTCACAGTGTCGATTTACAACGCCTTCGAAATATATTATTGAAATTCGGAAAGAATCCTTTCTTGATAATACTATGTCCGTATGTCAAAAATGGCTTGAATCGGAACAATGCCTCCTTTAGTCCCCGTAACCCTAACATAAACATTTTCGAGCTTTCGGTTGACTTTATACCGCATATATCAGTCAATATGTGAGTTATTTTAATAAAGTTCAGAGGCTTTACTCCTTATTATTAGTGATTTTGTGTGAGTACCTAAATGAAACTCAGTATCAGTACTTGCAGAATTTAGAGCGACTTACCAAAATCGAATCAATATCAATATATGTATATAGTTATGAAGCTTTATTTTGTTATATTGGTATTCAGTCATACAAGTGAAGGTAGAAATGTAGAACATAATGATTTCCTGTAGCATAATTCGGTGATTATTGACACCAGTTCTGAAGGTTTAGTACAGGTGACTACAAATCTTTATACCGATAAGCCATAATAATTACAATTTCTTAAACAAAGTGTTTACAGGTTACTTACCAAGTGGTGTTAAAGTAGAATCTGGTAAGGAATTGACCCCACTCAGGTAAAGGATGAACCCACAGTTAGTTGGGAGGCGGAAGATAATGCCCTGTATGCATTGTTTATGGTAGACCCCGATGCACCATCACGTGCCGAGCCAACTAATCGGGAAATTTTACACTGGTTGGTTATAAATATTCCAGGCAGTAAGTAAATGAAGGTCAAACTGTTGCGGAATATATTGGCTCTGGTCCCGCAGAGGACAGTGGCTTGCACCGTTATGTTTCTTAGTTTTCAAACAGGCGGGCAAGATTTAAAGTACAAAAATTATCAATTCATACATACTTGAGTTTGTCATATTAGGCATTATTTAAAATATTTTTAACTTGTGTGTGTGCAGGTCTGTGAAGGTCGTGTTAGAGTGAAGACAAGAGATTCCAGTGGGAAATATAATTTGGGTTATCCGATCGCTGGAAACTTTCATCAGGTGCAATATGATTATTATGTGCGATATTGAAAGCACAATTATTGACTAATTGCAAAACAAATAAATATAACACATAATTTTATATACATATGTATGTATATAACTATAGATCCGGCTACGTTTTGTACGCGTCTTGGTACACGAGTACATTAAATGCATTACAGTATCCCTCGCTTAATTGATTTTCCGCTTATTTGAATCACCTGATGGGTCCAAATATATTGCATACAAAATGGGTGTACAATTCCGCTTAATTGAACACGGTTATTTGGGCCCCGTTTATTGGCCAAAAATATGTTTTGCTGAAAAATTATGCCTTTATTTCTCCGGTTAAATCCTCAAAAACAAAATGTTTATTGGCAAAGATATATTGAAGATGCTGATTTTATCTCTAGTCTGTGTGATTGTGAGGAGCAAGAGAAAGAATATAATCCTCCTAAGTCTCCGTCATACAATAACTTCAAACACATTTTTATTTGGAAAACAAGTTTTGCAAATGCAAGTGCTGCATATTGTTACAATACTATGAATGTTTTGTAATTTAGTTTTTATTTTTTATAATATTGATTTCTATATATATGCACTTAATGTGCCCATATGATATATTTTATTGATTATTTGTCAATTATCGGATTATTGTAATTGAACGAATTGTTCAATTAAACAAGTATCGATTATTTTAATACCATAAATAATTCAATACAGTGAAAATAATATGTACGAATAAAGACGAAAACGTCATTGCGATATAAGAATCCAAGGGATTAAACTTGAAAACAATTCATACAAACATTAGTCTATGGGAAAAAGAAAGAATTTCAAAATCATTCCGAAAATTGATAATTATTTAACGTAGATTCTTGATGCAACAAAATCATTCTCCATTAAACTTGCCTGTTGTGGTTGTAGCCTAACTCGCTTGGTTGTCACCAAAGTCATCTAACGCCAGGCCAGAAAACGTTCTGTTATGACAGGTCGGACCATTGGGTGTTAGATGAGTGACATTCATTGGGAATGCAAAAGGGGCTTAGAGTCAGGCGGGAACTCATTGCACGCCTGACATATATTGGGTATGTCGGAGTAAATTCTGGATATGTAGAGTTTGCTGTACAATAATATCAACTCGAGCACTTTGTCGGCTATGGGTGTGGTTTAACTCAAAGTAGCCATTCCATCGGATGGAGTCGGTGAAGGTGTTAATGGCTCTATTGTGAATGACGGAATGATCTCCTAATGTCCTAGGAGGCGGCTCCGCTTAAAGCAGACGACTACAGGGATGATTTATATGAAACATCCCAGCAGAAACAGCTTGGAGGAGTGCATTGAGTTCCTAACTGGAAGCATGTAGGTCTCACTATGTAGGTTTTCGACAGAGGCATATTGTTATCGTACGGAGTGCAGTTTTCTGACTCATTTGAAGTTTCTTCGTCTGCGTTTCTGATGACCGCCGGCCGATTGCCTTGTATGTTATCAACAACGTTTATTTATACTTTCCCAGGTGCTCCGGTTAGCGACTTGATGATTTTTGTTGTGGCTCTGTACTTGGGCATATTTTTGGCAATTTTAATGCCTGCGACTGTGATATTAAGATAAAGTTTGTACTTCATCGTCCAGTTCATGATGTTAGGTTTTTGCAGAAAGGTGAGATATCTGTTTTTGAGTTTTGAGCACATATCATCAATTCCATTCAAAGCTTTGACAATCAAACTAATAGGATCGTCTCTCACAGGGTGGTTTTGATTTAGGTCACGAACTTTCTGGGCATTTATGACGTTAAGTGCTGTGGTGGTGCTATGTACTTTCCGCCGAAAACCATGTTGATGGTCTGCTAGAATGAGGTTGAAAGTGAAGGTCGGAGTAACAATTCTTCAATGTTTTCACTGCTGGGAAATGAGAGTTATCGAGCGATAGGACTCCACTAGGTTGACGGGTTTCCCAGGTTTCAGTAGGGGTCACTCTACCGACTTTCCACATCTATATATGAAGAGTAATCAGCGACAGGGTGAGGACCTTGGTTAGGTATTTTGCTCTTGTTGAGCCTAGATGTTTTAGTATCTTCCCTCGTCTGGGCTAATGGATTTCGAAGATTCGTTTTGGTGATGTCACTCTGACCTCCTCTTCTGTGAAAGTAGTGGAGCGCAGTCTTTTGGAATTTTGCGCAGCCGCCGGTTATACTTTGGTCTTGTCCGTTCAAGGGTGCGGTGAGAACTACCGGCCAAAAAGGCCGTTCATTTCTTCAGAACCAGGAAGGCATGTCAATCGAATTGAATTTCAAAACGATCTCAATTCTCTTCGGATTGGACAAGGCCTTGATAATGGATCAGAGTTTACTCACACGTTGAGAGGTTACAGGACATCAGTGCTCTACACATTTGTCCGCTTATGCTGATTTACTCTTACCGAATCTCCAAATTGAGATCCCTTACTGGGCTGCTTTTTCAGCTGTGAAATTGGGCCGGAGATCCGCGAATCTTACAGCCGGAATGAAACGAGTGTGATCACTTTGAAGGTGTTTGCGGTAAATTCGTTAAACCGTCTCATTAGTTTTGCTGAAGTTAACAAATATGCGGTTGTCCACAGAAATAAAGTCGAGAGGTTTTTATCGCGATAATTATGGGCAGATAGTGTGATGCGATAGTTAGCATAGGTAGCCTGGCTATATTATATATAAGACGAGTGGACTTTGGATGCAGCCTCTTGGCGCGTACACAGCAGAAAAATTCCTCCGGGCCTGGGTTGGGCTCAATGCCAACACGATCAGTAGAATGCGGAGCAACCCTGTTGCTATGTTTTGCTTCAATGATGACACACATAACATAAAACTTACTGATCCAAACAGGGTTTGAACGTCGAAATAAGAACAGCCGTTATCTCCGTTATCGGAATTGACCAGAATTTTATCCGATCAGGTCTGTTAAACTTTCCAGTCATATTTGTTGCTTTAAGAATATTTCTGGGATTCTAGCACCACTGAAATTATATCGTTGCCGATCAGCAACATGGTACGAATCGAAGGAGCTTTCGCAGGAGCATCATCTTCCACGGAGCTGAGCATTATCTTCGCTTAGCTATTTGAATGTCGCCGTAGACCTATACAGTTCGTGGTTTCATCTTCACGCGGGCGGCTCCATAGAGAATATCATCTGCGTACCCCAGTAGAATTGTATTTTTAGAGTAAACAGTTCTATCACTTTTTCAGTACTATTTTGAAGAAGACGCACGATGTTAGCACATCGGATCGAACGTACGTCTAGCGCACTGGAAGTCTACTTCGTTTATCACAACACCATCAATGGTTGACATTTCAGGTGCGGACATTTCAGGTGCGTATCCGTAAAACCTGTTATTTTGTGAGTTTGCTGTGGTCGTTAACGTTTAGAGGTCAGTATTCAAGGCTTTTGTGTTCCTTTAATTAGACTTACATTTTTACCTTTAAACCGATTACCCCAGAGGGATCACATCAAGGCTCAATTTCTTTTAGCCTTGACCCTGAGATCAACTCGGGTTATTACCGCATCTCACTTAAATTTCCTCACGTTGCCGGGGTGCTCGATGCGAACGCAAAATCGGGAGTTTACATGACACCTAATTTTATATACATACAAACAAACATAAAGATATTGATTGATATGATAAAGGCATAATATAATATACATATGTATGCATATAGTTAAAATTTTGACACCCTACATTTATACCATAGAGAGATAAGATAGTTAAAAATACTAGTAGATACTGTTATCAGTACTTGCGGTATTTAAAGTGGCTTACCAAATTCGAATCAAAATACATATATTCATGCCCTGATTAAAGTAGGAGTTATAAAAGTTTGATTTTGTTATGCTGGTATTCAGTCATATTCAAGCAATAACTGGAGGTAGACGCAAAATGATTTCAAGTGGCATAATTCCGGACATTATTGACACCAGTCCTAAAGGTCTAGTACAGGTGACTACAAATATTTATTACCGATAAGCCAAAATAATTATAATTTCTTAAGCAAACTTTATACAGGTTACTTATCCAAGTGGTGTTAAAGTAGAATTTGGTAAGGAATTGACCCCCACTCAGGTAAAGGATGAACCCACAGTCAGTTGGGAGGCGGAAGATAATGCCCTGTATGCATTGTTTATGGTAGACCCCGATGCACCATCACGTGCCGAGCCAACTAATCGGGAAATTTTACACTGGTTGGTTATAAATATTCCAGGCAATAAAGTAACTGAAGGTCAAACTGTTGCAGAATATATTGGCTCTGGTCCCGCAGAGGAGAGTGGCTTGCACCGTTATGTTTTCTTAGTTTTCAAGCAACAGAGCAAGATTGAAAGTACAAAATTCATATCAAAATCGTGAGTAAAATATTAAAATTTCCGTACTTTTACACATACTTGAGTTTATCATATTACGCATTAATTAAAAATATTTTTTTAATTTTGTGTGTATGTATGCAGGGCTCGTGAAGGTCGTGTTAGAGTGAAGACAAGAGATTTCATTGCGAAATATAATTTGGGTGATCCGATCGCTGGAAACTTTTATCAGGCGCAATACGATGATTATGTGCTGATCTTAAGAGCACAGCTTGTTGACTAATTACAAAAACAAATTTTTATAACACATATTTTGTGTATTTTATTTATACGTTTGTATATGCATACATACGCATGTGAAAACACATACTTATATCAAATTAAAAAAGTCATTAATGTAGATACAAAGTGTTTTACCTTTCACTTAAGACGAATTAACATTTAAATAAAACTTTACCACAATCGGTTTTGTTGCCAACGAGTTTGCCAAAAGTCAGCAGAGATATACATCCATACATATATGTATATAAAATTATTGGACTTTTTTCGTATAACGATGTTAGGGCTTTTGCGTTAAGAAATGCGCTACCAATTTATTGAACTCGTCTGCATAGCGTAGATGAATATTATGTTTGCCTTCGGGGAATTCATAATATCTAAAAAGTTAAAGTGTATGCATAAATATTTTTAATGAATATGTAATCATCTAACTAGTTATCTAAAAAAAAAATATACATGTTTAATGATTCAGAAAAGGCAAGTTTTCTTACTGGCAATCTTTTATACGTTCCCTTAGATATGGTATGTGCTCGGCAGCAATCATTGGATCCTTCTTGCCATGCAGTATAAAAGTTGGCGCTTTTATTTGGGTCACTTCTGTGCAACAAAAGTCTTCTTTACGCTCTTTATAAATTGCAACTACAGCATCAACCCACGCAGACCACAATTTCGGAAATCCCTCTACACCGTATACTTTCTCCATTGGTTCACGCATACGTTGTGACCATTTCTGCACATCTCGTATATCTGTAAAATGCATTATATTATTTGAAAATAATTTATCGAGTTAAAATATTATTTTGTATTTGCCTCGCATTGTTTTCTCCTCTTCGGCATTCAAATAAGCACCGGCACCCCATATAACCAATTTTTCGACGCATTCAACAAAACGACCCGCCATAATGATGCCAGTTATGCCTCCATCACTCCAGCCTAGTACAGAAAATTTGTGTCTTCCTAAAGCACGCATCAGGTCTACAGCCCAACATGCATCTTTTTGGAAAAAGTCGAGATCGAATTGTCGTTCTGGCGGTAGCGACTTTCCGTAACCGGGCGGATCCCATGCAATGATTGTATGGTTTGGTAATAGCTCGGGTAGTTTTTCAATTTGCGGTTTGAAATCTGTCCAGGCAGTGCCAAGTGCCCCAGGCATTAGCAATACGTTTTTGTCACCTTTGCCCGTTTGCACATAATTAATGGTGATGCCGTCGCTAAGTTTTACTTTTGTCTCTATGTGATTATTGCGTTGCATTATAGTACAATTAACCAACGGCTTTATAATTCGGCTATACATAGTTGGTCGTACTTGGAGCATTATGCAATCCTAAGTAATTATATAGAGTAAAATTTACATCCAGTGTCTCAATGATAAACAGAAAGAACAAAAAATATATATTATAAACTAATCCAAAGGAAAAATAACAAACAAAACAGCTGATTTTGATAGACAAATGTCGACACCAACCCGATGACTTATCGATCACACAACTGCTGTTTTTACTCGCCGGTTTGCTGATAAGCGTTGGGGCAGAAAATGTTAATAAATATAGAAGGCGCAGATGTTAAATCAGAGAATGTTAATGAATAGGGGAGCAGATGAATGTTAAAGCAGAGAATGTTAATGAATAGAGAAGGCGCAAATGTTAAATCAAATCTTTTTAATATACGTTCTTTGGTACCAATTTGTAGTTTTTACATATCGAAAAATATAAGTTTAAAAAAGAGAAATACACCACTCAATGGGCAAAACGGGAATAAGCTATAAATAGGCAAAACGAATGAATAATAATCGCTGCGCAAATAGTTATTTGTGTTTTCAATTTGAATGATATGAAAAAATGTATAATTATGAAAATCCTTTCGAATTAAAAAGGAGGACTACTGGTAAAAACTCCAGAATTTATAATAAAATAAACATTTATTACACATGAGGTGTATGTTTAACTGCTAACTACTACTAGCTAGCCAAATTTCCGCTGGAAAAGAGTTTCTTAACCCAAAAAACTTACAGAAACTAGTAAAAGAAATCAAAAGTTGAGAGCGTAATAAGCTGAGAGAGCTGCTGGTTTCTGCGTGTAATTTCTACTAGGAGATATTATCTACTGCCATATAAAGAAACAGCTATTAAAGCACATATATGTATATACTTGTATGTACAAGCGATATTTGATGCATTTGCTTTGATTATATTTATTTTCATTGTTTTGAAATGTGAAAATAAAAATTCTATTGATTAATTTTCAAAGGGTTGATATGAAGTGATTGTAAAAACAACATTTTGATATTTTCTTGCTTGTTTCTGATTTTTTTTCCGTTTCTTTACATATTCGTTTTTTCGCTCTTTGTGAGAGTAACTGTCAATTTTCTTCATCTTAATAGCTAGCAGCTATTAACAGTTAAGATACAAAGCCATTTTTTTTAACACATGTGAGTTGCGTGAGTATTTGCCTATTGATGAAAGGATAATATAAAACTATGGCTAAAGCGGCCGCGTTCCCTTTTCTGAGGTGATTTAGGTAGTAAGCGTGAAGGAGTTAAGTTCAATGTGAATAAGGGCACTTATGTTCAAATCCTGAAACTCGTGATACTTAAATCATATTTTATTAATTGGAATCTTTGCTTATCTCAATTCAGTTACTTTAATAGCATATTTCACTTACTGAGATAATTAAAATATTTCAGGAAAATATGTACATACATATATTTAGGTTTATTGAATATTCCCTAATTTACGCGTATTTGCACAAACATGCAAATCACACATACAATCATAAATACATGTACGCTGATTCTTGCTTCTCCTTGCCCCGCACAAACAATGACTATTTCCTCACTTTTTGCATTAACAGCTAGAACGAAGCAAGTGTGCGATCGCTAGCATGGACGGGTCAGAGGGTGCACTGTCACATTATTATTTCAGATATTTTTTTTATTGTTCGAATTTATTTTAAAAACACTTAGATAAGTATGAATTTATGTATATTAATACTTTTTTCGTAAATATTATAATATTAAGTAAATAAGCCCTAAGATATGAGTATTCCTAAATAATAAATTACGAATCCTCCGTTCACACGTCTTTGTCCATGGATAAATGCGATAAATAGCTCCTTTACTTTTGATAATATTTTTAGGGCAAAAACTGTAAGTAACTTCAGGGGACGTTTGCCAAAAAAACCAAATAAAAACTTAGGAATAAGGTATACTGGTCATACGGTACTGGTGCTATTAGAATATCCTTGATAGGAATATATCGCCGGCAAATCAACGATAAAAGTTGATTTAATCATTATTGACTAGCTCGTCATTTATTTCCTCAAGTGATAATTGGTGTTTCGAATAAAATGGAAAATGGTAAGGTAAAATAAGCATTAGGGTGGGCCGAAAATCCATTTTTTTAGAATTTTCATTATTAATACCGAAAATATTTTTCTTTGTTAAAAAAAAATATTTTCAAGAAAAAAAAAACAATTTTAGGTCGACACCTTAGGCTTGCCAAATCCAGTTAAAGTTAAAAGTTTTTGGAAAATGTGTTTCTTACCTTATAGCGAAATGGTCGTTATTTCAGTAACAATCAACTCTAGAAAAATTGTTTTTACATTTATGCAGTAGAAAATAGAATTCCCTATGAAAATAATAAGATCAGATACATTTTTCATCTAGAAAAATTAATACCACATTGAAAAATCTAATTTTTTAGAGGAGAATCGCAATTATTATAACTTTACTATAGGATCTTTTTTGTAGTGAATTAAGTTTCTGATTGATATAAGGTAAGAATACAATTTTCCAAAAACTTTTAACTTTAACTGGATTTGGCAAGCCTAAGATGTCGACCGAAAAAATTTTTTTTCTTGTAAATATATTGACGCATATATTTATTTTTGAAATAAACAGTTATATCGTTTCTTGGTTGTTTACGAGCCGTAACAACTCAAAGTTGCGTTATTAACAAAGCTCTGTAATAACTGACATGCGCATTACAATGATAAACACGTTTGTAATGTGCAAAGTTTTTAATCAAAGTGAGAGTTGAGTGCAAAATCGCTTGAATTATTAAATATTGTGCAGAAAATAGTGATAAATAATGGAAACCTTGCCATAAATGCATGCCAAATTAAACTTAAAGTTTTTTTTTAATATTCAAACGTTCGAAGTGGTTAAATTCATACAGAAATTGAGATAGTGATTGATTTTCCCACGCTCATTTTGTTAAAGAATTTCATTGAAATAATCGTTGTATGTGATGGAATTTCATAGCTGTAGTTCCATATTTATAGCCTTGATTGGATTGTCATTAAAATTTAATCAGTAAAAAATATTCTTTATTATAAGACAATAAATATTTTTTTGTAATATTTATTCATGCTTTTATTTATTCTTTTTAATTAAAATAAGTTTCTGCTAATTTACGTTTGAAATACTGTTACGTGGATTTTCTTTGTATATAACTTTTGCAGTCTGCTCATTCCGAATAATTTATGTCGTAGTGAATATGTATATTATGCAAATGCTTAAATGAAACATGTGCACGTACATATACTTTGTATATATGTACATATGTCTGTATGTCAATGTGTTGTTTGCTAACTAGGGTGATCAACTGCGCAGGAAAACCGCGTTTTTTCATGATTTTTTTTAAAATACTTTACTGAGTAAATAAAAATAATATACATTTACAGAATTTAATGTACTTCAATGATCGACCATCGTTTTGAAAACTTTTATATTCCCTTGATATCGTAGCCGATTTCCAGGAGGACGTCCAAAATAAGGTGTGTGGAGGTGAGGAAGATTTTTCTCCTTAAAAATATTTTAAATCTAAACAAAAATGCCGTTTTTTGTAATAAATGTCGACTTTAGAGTGGCTTAAAAATCGGAACTATTATAAAAATCTTATCCTCCGATCATTACCTCAAAGATATGTATTTCTAAGAACATCGTGTGAAAATTACAAGTCCACCGGTCCAGCCTTTTTGTAGAAATTTTCCTTACCGACAGCGTTTCGAAAAAAAAACTTCTCTAAAAAGCCGATAAGACCAAAATAAAAATTTTTTACTAATACGTTACTATTTGCCAGATTAAATCTTGGGGGATATTTTCCAATGCATGTACTACATTCGATATATGCAAAAGTAAAATTAGATTTTTTGAAACTCGCAAAAACATGTTGACAAGAATTCTTTCCTTTTTACATTATAGAGAATACGTTAAAGGATCTGTAATGCACCTATTATCTCAGTATTATACAAAAAAATACATGTTTTCCCGATATAACCAAATAACCGAGTACCTTAGTAAAATTGCATAAAAACACATATGTGCATACACACGCAATTGCATATACACACAGGTTATGAACCTCTCTGCTTGTTGGCCATGCACTGGACTCTTTTCTCCACTTGCGAGTGTCAACCGCCGCAAACTGTCGTGTGTAGATGTAAACATCTGAATACATACTTACATAAATATACACATGCATAAATCAAGTTGATGTGAATTGTAGGCAAAAATTACTACGAGCATGAATGAGTATATATGTGTGTGTGTGTGTATAAATATGTGGGAGTACATCTGTGGTGCTTACATATGGTCTCTACCGCAACGCCTCATAAAGACGTCAAAGTAAAGCTTAACTGTCGACGACTCTACGGTATAACGGTATGCTGCTGCCGCGACCAACACCAATACCACTACTAACGACAACACCAACACTACACGACGACGACCAATTTTCGTATTTTCCTTTATTTTGTGAATAGAACGAAATGAGCTTTCCACATTATGTCCTATAGCCAAAACTTGGAGAGCATGTCTGTATGTGTGCGTGTGTGTGTGAATGTTAACATCCCGTTGAAAACTCTACGCAGGAATACACAGGGCAGAAAATTGCAGTCTAGTTTCGTCGCGATTGCAGTGTGGATCGATAATAGAACAAAAATTGGCAGAGTGAAATGTGAAAATTGTGGAAAAATATTTAATAGAAAATCCTTTAGTTGCAGAATAAGCAAAAACATATATTTAGTGTGAGTTAAATGAAGAAATAAAAATGCATATAACGGAAATAACGAATGTATTAATATTGAAATAAATTTATAAATAATAAAATTGAAAATCAGTTTAAAGTGAAAAGAAAATAGATTAAAAGTTGCGTATACTAAATATAAATTTTCCATGGGCCACACAGGAGCAACGAGCACTTAAGGACCCGAAAAGTGGTACTTATGACGTGCGTACGGGTGTGCGTGTGTTTTATGGCCAAAAATCAATGGAAAATTTATATCTCGCTTTAAACGCTATTTAAATGATATGTGTGACAAAATTAATTATTTTCCTATAATCGAATTGTATGCGGATAACCTTTTGTGCAGTTAAGCAGACATATAGAACAGCTAAGAATTGTAGTGAAAAATTGCTTTGGTAAATTTTTTCACCAATTTTAGTATGTACATGTACTTAGATTGAGGGGCCAAAATGATTGCGAACGAAATGTGGCATTGAGCGGTAAGGGTAGACAGTGGAGCTTTCTACGCATCTCCGCGACCCTCAAAGCCTTTGCCATCACATTGTTGTAACCTAAAAACAACAAACATTAGTAGCACTTGAGTGGTCATAGCCGTGGCCACTGGTTTTACAACAGCAGCAGCAGCCGACGTAGGAGCTCTAGCAGCTGCTACGAGCATTTGGAGGCTATGCCATAAAATTAGTATGAATATGTTAATGCGTTTAATGAGAAATAATATTGAAAAGTTAATTATAAGAAAATATAAGTTATAAAACAAAGCAAATAAAAAAGAGAAATAATATTAAGAAATTATAAAAGAATAATAATATATAAATTATAAAATACCAATATAAAAATAATAATAATATTTAAAATATATATATTTTGAGAAAGTTGTTTGCTTTACTGAAATATTGTTTGCTTAAAAAAAAAAAGTAATTGTTAAATTAAAAAAAATTTTTCAATAAAAATATATTGGCATAAATATTTGAAAACTATGTCTTTTACTTGCAGAGAATTTATCATAAATGTTGTTAGTAATGCTTTTTGGCTTCGCAAATGAAACAAAATAAAACGATGAGTGTAAAGTGTAGTGTAAAAAACGTTACGATAAGCATATAAATCCAGTGTAAAGCAAAAACAATCAAATAGCCAAGCAACCTTAAAATAATTAACCAATCAACTACGTAACACCGACCAACCGTCCGCTTCTATTTCAAAAATTACTTAGTAAAAAACGTGTAAAAAACTTAGCATACTTAATAGCATACTCAATAGCGCTGCCTGCTTCAGTTCACCTATGCGCGTTCATATAAACAACCAATACAGTGACGAAATCTATGAAAAATTGCGACACATAGCGCGAAAGAGAGGCAGAGTTCGTCGAAACTACGATAAAAACGCTCTGTGTACATAAAAATCCGTGAGAAAAGCTCCCGGAAAGCTTTCGCAGCAAAAAAGACGACATAAAACAAATTGTAAAAACAAACACACTCATTGGTGAACAAACAAACAAAAACCAAGACTTAAAACTAAAATAACACATAATCAAAGGAAGTTAAGAGAGAGAGAAAGAGTGAGTGAGAGTGAGAGGGTTGAGAGCGTAAATTCAATTCAATGAAACTTACACGCGATTTTAATGCACATGAGAAGCAGTTATAGTAGTACGCGACGGCACAAACTCACATATCCTCGTAAACAGCACACATACATACTGACACACACGTGCCTGAACAACGTCAGAACGCAAACAAACACAAAAACAACTACACAAATTATGTACAAGAGAGTTTGTCAAATGTAAAGGAACTTCAAGGATTTCAAGATATATACAAATTAACGACAGTGATACGTTAGACTCAATAGCAAGTGCTGCCGAAGTGTAAGAATAAGAAACTCAGAACCACATCCGGTGGGCAACACAAACACACATATTTTTATGTGCATGTAGAAACATACACACACGCACACACAACCACAATAATTAACAAGGACATCGGGAGTGAAAACTTGAAGGATAAATGCACCTACTATTAATAAAAAAAAAACTAATAACAGTGTAGTGTGCTTTTTGGCGTAGAGGCAGCTGGTTTTGCTGTATGCCAATTGCAGATGCAAATTGCTGCGTTAAATTCGCATTTAAGCGTTAAACTTTGAACATATCAAAATATAAACTTATACAAACACATATACACTTACACAATCATACAATATACAAGCAACGCTACGACGAAAAATATGCAACACTAGTGCAGTGTCACGCGTCAAGTCAGTAGCAGCAACAGCAGCATGTCCTTTCGCGAACCTTGTGAGCTGCTGCCAGGCAGCACAATGCGAAGAAGGAACAGCAATTTCAGCGCATTTTCAATGACTGCCGTTAGTTACCTCTCTAACGGTACCACAACGTGTCACGGTAGCAGTAGTTGTGGCAGCGACTGCTGCATTAGTGGTCGTCTTATAAATCGGCATAGCAACGACTACAGTAGCTGCTACAACAACAACAATAGCAGACAACAACTGCAAACTATACAACAAAAACTGCCACTTCGGCAAACATTGCGGCAGCAAAGGAACAATGAAAACTATAAATTCCGAAACAGCATCACAGCTAAAAGAACAACAACAACGAGCCCATCAACTTCAGTGGCACAGCTTGTGGATTGCCCAGCAGCTGGCGACGATATGCCGTCATATTCGCCATATTCAAGTTGTGGACGACTGAAACAGCGTCGAAAGTCGAAAACGCTGCTGCCGACAAAATATGTGCCCGCCTCGGTGTATGCCTTTACCGGTTTGGTGCTGTTATGTTCGGCGCTTCTATCGCCATGTCATGCTTTCCAGCTGGATGGCTCCCAAAATTCTTTCGCCCAATTTCGCAAATGGTATACGGGACTCAACGGCTCGCTGGAGCTGGAGTTTAAGACTGAGCAGCCCAACGGCTTGGTGCTTTACACTGATGATGGCGGTACATATGACTTCTTCGAGCTAAAACTGGTGGAGGGTGCATTGCGTTTGCGTTATAATTTGGGCGGTGGAGCGCATATCATAACAGTCGGCAGAGAATTACATGATGGCCATTGGCATAAAGTGCAGGTAAGTGGGTGGGTTGGACATCTGGTCTACAGTGTGAGTTTCAGTTCAGTGCAATATGTTTGCATTTGTTGTTTTTGTAGTTGTTGTTATGTAAATATATTTGAGTACTGTCGTTATGTTTGTAGGTGTTGCGCAATGATGAACAAACATCGCTGATTGTGGATGGCGTTTCGCAAAGCAGTACGACCAAGGGCAAGGAATTTCAATTTGGAAAATTTGCTACCAACTCTGACGTCTATGTAGGCGGCATGCCAAATTGGTTGGTTATCTACTGAGAAATATAAAATGCTTTGTCCTCTCACCAAGCTATTGCCATTGAGTTTGTTTTTGTAGAAAACGTTATAAATTCATGAATTATATGTTAAGGATTTAATAATAATCATGAATTATATTTTAATGACAAGAATAATTTTGTAAAACACGTTTCAAAACTCAAAAGCCTTCTCTGGATTAGTTTTAGAAGTCAAGTTAGAAAACTGCGTTTGTTGCTGTAAAGATACAATAATGTACATATATAGAAATTCATGTCTTTCAATAATCGGTGATTAATTTTAAAAATTTTGGATTCCCTTACTTCCGTAGTCGATTTCCAGGAAGGTGTTTCTGCTTAAAATTTTGATTTTTGACAAAATGTTGGTATCCCAAAAAAAATCATTTTTGTAAAAAATTTACGCTTTAAAAATCGAAATTTTTATAAGAAGCTTTCTATATAGGTCCTGATGAAACACGTTTATTCTTGAGTTTCTAAATAATATGATTGAATGATAGAAATCTAAACAGCAGATATATAATTACTACTTCTCTTCCTAAATAGCATTTTGATTATTACACACTTTTATCTTAAAAAAACTATATCGCTTTTTTATGTTTTCTTATTGATTTCCAAAACTTTTAAAATCATGATATCTGATTCAATATCTATATATAATATTTTAAGCTATTTATTGAGTCTCAACGGGATATTTTTCATTTTATTCGGATGAACGAATTGGCGTGGCTTAACTAATTCGCCTCATTATTTCGATCATGTTATCGTGTACTCTATGCTCTGCCGAAAAATCCGCAGCTGTACATTTAAAATAGCAAAACTAATGTAAAAATAGGTATTAACATTAATATTCCGAGAAGGCTTTATTGTAAAGAAAATTAATTTTCGTAATCTACTCACGGAAAGTTTGATGAGAGCGACTTGTAAGAGAGTGACACATATGCACGCATGGCTGTGCGTATTTATTTGCTAATCATAAGTACACATAAATGCGAAAAAGACAAAAATTAATTAGTTAAGTGTAAATTTACGCGGGATATCTTCTAATGCGTATGTGTTTGTGTATATCAACACATTTTTTATGATGTGTAGGTACAGCACAAAGTTGGCATTATTAGCCTTGCCAAGCGTGATCTTCGAGCCGAGATTCCGGGGTGCCATTCGCAGTTTGGTGTACGCCGATCAGCCCGGTAGAGCGACACGCCGTCAGGAAATGAAGCAGCCACGTGATATAAAGGTAATTAAGAAATTGTGATGAAGTTACATGTTTTAACTGTTGCCAGTTGTTAACTTAAGTTGACTTACGGTAAAAGTTACCTTTTCAGTTATTTATATATTGAGTAAATATTTCGCTACTAGTCGACAATAAAATAGAGCTGAAGGATATGTCTGGATTTTTCACTAAAATTTAAGGTACTCAGCTTAGCTTAAGTCGACTTAATTTCCATACTTCCCACAATTAAGTTTAATGCAGGTTTTTTCTGCTTCAAGGAAACTAAAATCGAAAGAAATTTAACACTAAATAGAAAAAAATGAGTTTTGTCGTAATTAGACATCTAATGTCTTTGGCTTCAACGTACACTTTTCAGATATACTTCATTGTTATACCAAAACGATTTACCCAAGCTTTTCCTTTTTTCTAATCGACAGTGTGGTGACGGCCCATGCGATAACGGTGAAATGCCAAAGGAGAAGGTACCCAGGGTACGTAGTTAAGAAAATATGAGTATATATATTCTACAATTTTTCCGAATTTTTCTGTTCTTTAGGGTGTACGCGGCGGTAATACCACAGATGCTTGCGAACGAAGTGATCCTTGTCAACATGGCGGTATTTGTATCTCAACCGATTCGGGTCCAATATGTGAGTGCCGAAATCTCGAATATGATGGACAATATTGTGAAAAAGGTGTGTTATACTAAGAATTATCGAAAGACAGAAATCCGAAAATAAATCTCATATTCTATTTCGCTGCAGAAAAAGCGCCATCAGAAGCCACATTTCGCGGTCAACAGTTCCTGTCGTATGATCTTGGTCAAACTAGTGCCGAACCGATTGTAAGTGCTCAAGATGCCATTACGCTATACTTTCGCACTCGTCAACCAAATGGTTTATTATTCTATACAGGTTTGTATATACTGTAATAAAGAAGTATAAATGCATTTGCTAATTTTGTTTATCTTATATATTATAATCAGGGCACGGTACTGATTACCTGAATTTGGCGCTACGTGATGGCGGCGTTTCACTTACAATGGGTTTAGCTAACGGTAAACAGGAAATGCATATCAAACCATCCAAGGTACGCTTTGATGATCATCAATGGCACAAAGTAACGGTACATCGACGAATTCAAGAAATATCTTCTATAACAAGCTTCTGCAGAGTAAGTCAATCTGCGGTTAAATTCATAAATAAAAAATTAGTTATAAACTTCGAAACTTTTTACAATCTAGCTTGTGACCGTTGTCGATGATGTTTACACCGATCACTCGCATATTGCTGGCAAATTTACCATGCTGTCTTCGTCTCGTGTTTATGTTGGTGGCGCCGTCAATCCACGTGCTCTGCTTGGTGCACGAGTGCATAATAATTTTGTAGGTTGTCTTCGTAAGGTTAGTACCCTACATATTATTATTACATTTTCAATAAATACTAAGTTAACCTAATTCCACAAGGTTGAGTTCTCTGCTGATACATTATTATTAAACCTCATCGATTTGGCTAAAAGTGGTTCGAAACTGATTCAAGTTGCAGGTAACGTCGAATATCAATGTCCAATTGGAGATCCACAGGACCCAGTTACATTTACTACAAGGGAATCGCATTTGGTATGAGCTCATTTTATAAATATAGACAAATATAGGTTACTTGTATTTTATCTTAGTATTATTTCATACATACAAGTATGTCTAACACCTGATTTTCCTTCATGTAAACTACCGTTTTCGTAGGTTTTACCACCATGGGAGACTGGCAAACAAAGCTCTATATCATTTAAATTTCGTACCAAGGAACCTAATGGATTGATTGTTTTGGCCACTGGCTCCAAACAACCACGCTCGAAGAATGTAAGTTTATTTACAATACATATCTATGGGGTAATACTGTGAGAAAAGAAAAAATCTGAACTATCGCTCGAATGTTCAAGCTTTTAAATACTACATTTATTAAGGATAATACTGTAATGCGCGTATCAGTCTTATAAATGGAAACATTGTGGACTTATGAATGTCGAATATATCTCTTCACTTTATTCGTTCGTTAATATTCGATAATTTTGCATTATGGTGTGATATTTGTCCGTTATATCTATATAACATATGTATCTAAAGTTATGCGGTTTGCCAAGGGATGGAACCTAATAAATACTCCATTGTTCTAATATTCCGAACATGCGATTGTAAAGCTATTGTCCTTGTGCATCTTTTTCTGTATATTCATTTATTTAGAGCGTAAAAAATATAATTTTTAGTAAATTATGTTGAACTTTGTGTCTGGCAAGCGGTGCTTTTGGCTGGGAAGAAGAAAAATGCTGTAGGCAGCAGCCAAAACAGTGTGAAGATGAGGAAATGAAAATACTTACACAATGAAGATTGTTGTCAAGCACAAGAAGAGCTCACAGAATTTTTGGGAGCCACTTAAGCGGTCATTTAAAAACGTTTAAAAGCAAGCGGATACATTCAAAGCCAAAAAAATTTGGGTGTCATATGAATTGACAATAGACGTTGATATGCTGCTTGAACGCTACAAAAAGAAGTCGGTTTCGCATCGGATTGTGACTGGCGCCGAAAATGGACGCATTAATACAACCCTTAACACAAAAAAATCATATGTGAAACCAGATCAAAAAGCCAAATGAACGGTAAAGCCGAATATCTGTGACATCAATGCAAAGATCTGTATTTGGTGGGTTTAGAAAGGTTTGATGTATTTTGATGACAACGCTCGCCCGCATGTTGCAAGAACTGTTAAAAACAATTTGGAAAACAGAGGCTAAGAAGTTCTGCCTCATCCGCCTTATAGCCCAGACCTTGCGAATACGATTCATATCAGAACAGAACACACTATGATACTTTACTATATAAATTATTTTAGTTTAATTTTATATTTTTTTAAATATACGGCGCTTGTCAAAAAAGTAAACTGTGCTCAACTTGCTAATGTTTGTTACATAATTGTAAGAGGGTTAAACCTTCATAAACATCAAACTGTAATGTTTAAAGTGCGTTAAGGGAATTTTTCTTGTATGATAAACTCTGAGTTTACGAGTTGTTCTTATTTATCAACTTTAACAGAATCTCCTTGCTGCATGAAAGCGACGAGTAGAGATTAATTTAGGCTCACCCTCATGGATAGGCATACGCCACACTAGTAAATCAATTACTTTTGTTCTTTAACTCACTTTAAATCACTAATGCTTGTTTACCGACACAATTAAAAAGCATAATTAAATTGTTATATTTTCCAGGCCGTACTATTTGCCATTGAGTTATTGAATGGACACATTTACATACACTTGGACTTGGGTTCGGGTGCGGCGAAGGTGCGTGCCTCACGACGTCGAGTTGACGATGGTGATTGGCATGATTTGATACTGCGGCGCAACGGACGCGATGCAAAGGTAAGCGTCGACGGCGTTTGGAATGAGTTCCGTACACCGGGCGATGGCACCATACTGGAACTAGATGGGCATATGTATGTCGGTGGTACGGGTCCAGCGTATAATAATATCGCATGGCCACCGGCTATCTGGACAGCAACGTTACGACAAGGTTTTGTCGGTTGCTTGCGTGACTTGGTGTTAAGCGGCAAGGCGATCGATATTGCAGCATTCGCACGCTTGCAGGACTCAGGTATATGCATACTTATACAGAGGTATATATATGTAGTACATATTAGATGTAAATGATTTAAAGAGTACGTGAAAGTATGAAATGATTTGTCCATTAAAAATAAATCGGACACATTTATTTATTCAAATGGTAGTTGATAACAACAATTTTTTGGTGTCATGGTTTAAAAAAGCAAAAAGCTTTAAAATAATTAAATACTGCGATTATTATTCATATTTGCATATAGTAAAAAAAAAATTGTGTCAAATGCAACAAAATAACTTTGAATCAAGAAAGTGGTTATGACAATGAATAAATATGATTTAAAAAACTAAACAACACGCTTTCAGACCGAAAAGTAAAAATTATTTCTTTCATAAAGTGACAGAAATATTGACCGAAAAATACTTGTATTATTATGAGAAAGGTGGGGTATGCTCGGGTTCTGTCACTTTACAAAAGGAATTATATTTCACTTTTTAGTTTGAAGTGTTTCAAAATCATGTTTTTTAGTATTTTAAACTATATTTATTTTTAATTTTTTTGTTTAATGTGCTTTAAAATCATGTTTTTTAGTATTTTAAACCATACTTATTATTTAGCCACGCGTGGTGTTTTCACTTTTTTAAGGACGCGTTTGAGTAAATTTTTTATCCAAATGACAGCATGGATAGTTGATGCTTTTAGATGCATAGTTTTAGGGGCATCCTCCTATAAAGCTCTTCCCTAAGATCTAGTTTGTGAAATTTAATGCTTATAGCGCATTTATTTAGTAAGTTGTCGCACTTTTAGTAGTTTTCAACATAACCGTTATATGGGAAGTGGCGTGGGTCGTATGAAAAAGTGCTAAAAAGACTTCCTGTCGGCAAAGTGCTTAGTTCTGGCACTTTATAGAGTTTCTTTTAATGGCGTTTTGTGAGCGAGAGTGGTCTGATTACGCCCATCTGCAATAACGACCTCTCTTAGGTACCAAGTAACATATGTAGCAAGTTTCAGCAAAATATCTCAATTTATACTGAAGTTATCGAGTGCACAAAAAAAGTTACAAACATACAGGTGAAGCTAATAAATTCGTTATAAAAACAAGAACACATGTTCACCCTTAACTTATGCAGATAAACATACGTAGATTTGAACTTTGCTCAACAAATCACAGCGCTTTCAATAGTTGAAAGAATTTCATCCAATTCATATATCAGGGAGTATTGAGGATTTTCTATCGAATTTTCCTCTTTTTCACTTCACTTTTTTCACTGGTTAATTATTAGACGATTTTCAAAGCATTCTGATTAAATATTTTTAGTTTCGGTAAACTTGGTTGGACCCCAAAGATTTTACATATTCTTCTCTACTAACTTTTTATAATGTTTGAGATAACTCGATACCCCTGCAACTCAAATACTGGTCCACATGAACCGTATTCATTTCTTTACAAAATCATTTTCTAAAAAGCGATGCTAACCTAACAAAAATTATATATGCGAAATACTTAGTGCTCTATTCTTAAACCATTATTGATAATTTGTAGATATTTTGGAGTACCATTTGGAATTAGTAAGATCAAATTAAGATCCCTGATATAACTTATTTAAGTAAGTTTTATTAATACCCTGCTCAGAAATTAACAAATTTTAATGAAATTAAAAAATCTATTAAAAATATGTATATAACTAAATTGTTGAAACTGCAGCATCGGTGAAGCCATCCTGCCACGTACAGGCCAACGTTTGTTCCGGCAATCCTTGCTTGAATGGCGGCACCTGCATAGAGGGCTGGAATCGACCTATTTGCGACTGCACTGCTACACTATACGCCGGACCGACGTGCGGACGAGAGTTGGCCACATTAGCGTTCAACGGCAGCCAACATATGACCGTATGGCTGGGCAACGGTCAAGGCACCAAAACCCAAACTGAAGAGCTTATAATACGTTTCAAGACATCGCGACCCACCGGCTTGATACTACTAACAAGTGCCGAGTCGAATTCACCAGATCGTTTGGAGATCGCATTGGTGGCGGGACGTGTGCGTGCCAGCGTCCGATTAAGTGATCGAGAGAAGGTAATTATGAGAATTTCTTCACTTATTGCATTTTAACGAATACTGTGCCATGTTAACTTTTAAATCTTTGTGATTCTATAGAATTTACTTGCCGGTCAATCGGTGTTGAATGACAATAACTGGCACACAATACGCTTCTCGCGACGTGCCTCCAATCTACGGCTACAAGTTGACGGGGTTCCCCCTGTCAGGGGTATGTTATGTATGTATCACCAGCACTTCTATTTGCCCTACTACGTGTCGTGCCGTGTCGTTTTTTTCATTCTACCAAAAACTAAAAAAAAAAATAAGAATTAAATAGATATAAAAAGAAATATTGAAAATAGTTAATAAGTAAGTCAAGCAATAATAGGAGTAGGGACAAACAACCGAACTTTTTTGCAAGAACAACAATTGTAAATTTGTATGATTTTATTTTGGTTGCTTTTTGTTATGATTTTCATTGTGATTTGTTTATTACTTTTGTATTACCAAAGAATTTTGTTTTTTGTTCATCGAGTGCGTCAATGGGTCACAAAAGAAGGAACACAACTATCTGTGATTTCGCAGATATATGTATATATATAACATATATCATATGTAATCGTATGTATGTGTATGAGTTTCAGTGCAGTGGCCTCGTCTCTGTCAGGCGTACTCGGTATTTTATTTGAATATGATTTTTTTTTAATTGTAAATACTCGCAAAACAAACGTAAACATACTTGTACTTTTTGTTCAAGAAAATGTTAGCCAATACTTACCTACTTTGCAATCACCAATCACTAGATCACCACCATCACTTAATCAACAACAACACCTGTCAAGTGCGTGATACATAAAAAACAACAAAAAATCCAACTAAATGTCAAGTTCACATATTGGTAGACAAAAATAGTTAGAATTTTACACGTCGTAATTTTGTCATCTTCCATATAATCATAAATGGAGTTAATCCCTATTTCTCTGTGTCGAGTGGAGCAGAAAAACCCTAAATTAGGTAAATCTAGGTTGCCACACTTTAAACGCTAAAGGCTGAAAAAAACAAACAAAAAAATATTAAATATACTTATTTTGATAAAAATATGTTGTAATTTTTATTTAAATGTTTGAAATAAATATTTTTTTGATCGATTAAATATATAATTTACAGTTCATTTCGCTAAATCATTTATCATATTTGAATAGTATTGGTATATTGTATGTATCATTGTTTGTATATTTTCATATTACGTATTCCTTTATCTCGACGTTTTTTTTATCCTGTAAAATAATATATAATCATCACTTCACCAGCGAACCTTGAAAATAGTATTTATAAATATGACATCTCACATTAATACATAAAATCACTTATACATACATACATACATCTTATAAATTCATTCTGCTTTATGAAATTCGTTTGTTACAATTTTATATTTACTTACTGTACCTTAAACGTTACTTGTACCTAAATTCGTTTCGTTTTATAAACGATCATAGGGCACCAGAAGGTTTTTCGAAAACTTTAACAAAATATTGACTTATCTTATAAATACTTAACACTCTTTGAGATATGAATAAACTCATACGTTTCTTAACGGATATGTTGGAGATTCTGAAAGGCTGTAGTGTCAAAGAACTTGGAAGTGAAATAAGATATCGTATTGCATAACCAATTTTTTAGTATCGGTTATAAAATAATATAGAATAATTCACAGAAAATTAATGTTTATAACTCTAATGGAACTTCATGTCAAATTGTAGTTGCTTCCTCGATAATAACTGCCTGAATCGAACAACCAACTGATATAAACTCGCATAATCAAATAGCTATAGAAGAAAAAGAGTTCCGTATCTACATTGTGATATCTACATCTCTACATTTATAGATATGCATCTCTAGTATTCAATTTTACTGAAGCAATGCTCATAGCGAGTGTGGACGTGATGGGTCGAAAACGGTTGATAATTATATTACAGGACAAAGCGAATGTCTTTGCGGAGATCTGTGAACTTTTGAGCAGATGTTTTTTGACGAAATATAGATTATATATAGATTTGACCAAAATCTGATGCAGATGCTGAGAGAAGAAGAAACAGAGAGACGCATAAATATTTAACGTTGTGTAATTTCGGTGTTTAGTTTGCAAATAACCTCTAAACAGATTTTCATAAATTCACAAAAAATTATTATATATTTCTATAAAAATACATACTTTGGTGCCCTGTGAACGAATAAGTTTCAACCTCTGTTCTTGTAAATTTGAAACTTTTTAAGATCTTGATGTCGTGTTTTTATTTGCCTCAAAACCAAATTGCCTTGTTTTATGAGAAAATGAAATTTTTTTTTTGATTTTTACTTAACCTCTCCCTGGAGCGAAAAATAGATTAAATTTCAGCAAGAAAAGTTAGAATTTACTAAATGATACTTTAGTAAAAATGTATACAGTACTTAAAGTGCATGCTTTGAGAAAACTGAGAAAATTAAAACCTCATCATAGGAAAGTATTTATGTAAAATGTCTGCGAATATCAGCAAAAAATTGGTTGCTTGCAGTGGAAAAATATTTGATTAAATTAGACACATTTTAATGGATTACAATGCAAAATTTCACTTTGGTCATTTTTAATGTACATAATTACATAAAATATAACTGTATCGATGTTAAATAAGTATTTAACTATACATACATACATACCTATTTCTCATAGCGCGAACATTTTGAAAGGTAACCGTAACATTTTCCTGTTTTCCGTAACTTCGTGTATATAATATTTTTGCAGTGCGAAATTTAGTAAATTTCTCTACAGAATACTATCACGATATTGCAAGGCAAGCTACAAGAAAGGTTAAAATGAAAAAATAATTTGTATAGGTTTGTATAGTATTTTATATATGATATATTATTAATTAAAAATATTTTCAGTTCGATAAAGTTTTTTCAAAATTGAGAGATTGTTAAAATATTTTTTTTTGCTTAGAGCAGGAATTAAAGAAATTAAAAAATCGACACGCAAGAACAGGTGCGCATTTTTTTGTTGCCACTGTTGTTGTTGCTGCTGCTTAAGGGACGGCACTAACAATTGCGGCAAAAAAATGTTTGTAAAGCGCCGGGGCTGTAATCTGCACCAATTACTAATATTTTTCTAGTGTTTTATTATAATTCTAATTCTATATTCGTGTACTGCGATATACTAACTTAGTTTGTGTTAATTGCAGAAAAACAAAAAAAAAAAAAGCATAACCTAAAACTAATCTCACAAATCGTAGCGATGCATTTGCAATACACAATAATGTACGTGTGTTTGTCTTCACCTACGAAATTTTAATTATTTATACATATATTGTCGCACAAGCACCAAAATGTCCGAATCGCGTGTAGCGGACTTCTGCATACTTACTACATAAATATGTACTTATATACTAAATAGTTTGCCAATTTCGTAACCCCGTCGCACTGTTACCACGCAACTATCGTACACACGAGCCAAATCTAGCTCTACAACACCGCCACCCTAGCTGAAGCTGCACCTAGTTATGTGTGCGCGTGTGTGCATGCATGGCGCCAATTTGTCGATCTAAAGGCAACACGCATATTTCGCATGTTTCATAACTACTACATAGAAAACTATTTATTTATGTATGTATGTATATTGGTAATTTATTATTTTTATTTGTCATAAATTATAACTTTTAATTTGCATGAGTGTTTCACCACAATTGCAAGCCGAAAAATTGCTGCCTGCTGTCTCAAATTTAAGAGCATTATGCACGTCGTAATCAGCATCACCGATGTCTAAATCACTAAACATCTTCAAACATCCTCATCATAATTAATTTAAAGAAGAGTATTCACAAAAGAATATAGTTGTCTATTAATCTGTATTGAAACGCTGAGTACAAATAATAATCTTTACAGAACATAACGGATATTCTGACTTTACTATTTTATATTATAAAATATATTTCTAAAAGTTTCTCAGTATCCAGAACTGCACTTTAATTGATAATGAAAATATATATGTATTTTTGATAGTTCGCAAAGCATTAAGCATTAAAGTGCAACGGCAACGTCTTCTAAATACCCAATACAAGTATATAACGAAAATTACACACTCACTCCATATACGGACACATATGTGTACATACATATATGAATTAGCTGTTTCTTTCCGTGCCAGCTCATTAAATGATTGCCATTAAATTCACCCATTTCTCAAATCATTTCGAGAAATCGCTTTGGTTGTTCCACCTTACATATGAAGTTGTCATAGATAGAAATGTCAAATGGCAAACAAATTTATGACGTAACAACTATAATCTTACATTCTGCACATACTTTTATTTTCTCTTATTTTATTTATTAGTATCCTACTACGGATTATTTTTAATTAAATTGTTTTTTTAGAGTTAAAGATGGAAACATATATTTTGTATTTCTAGAAATGAAAGTTAATGTGAAATACTGGAAAACATAGCTGAGTTTTGTATGTTTGCGTTTTATTACAAAGATTTATGAGAGGTTAGGTTAGATTTATTAAACGATTACGTTATTTTTATTCGTTTTCATTGCACTTTTAGGCTTAAATGCTGAAATACAAAAGTATTATTGTACGTTCCCAACTTGGCGCACTCTTTATGTTAATCACAATACAGATATATACATATGTATGTATACATAAGTAGTTTTCTTAAATTTTATTCATGCTATTTCTTTTTTTCTTCGATTTAATTACTAATTTCTTTTTAACTTCAAATAATTTGAAAACTTTCGCTACAAAATCACATGACGTAAGGTGGAAAATTGCGTAGTAGTAGTATTTTCAATAACTAGTATATATCCAGTGATTTAAATCAGGCAATAACCAAGCCCACCACGCATCAAACGTTTATATTTAAAGCTACTACTACTAATATTAATCTAAATTCTATATTTCAAAAACTATTTGGCCAATTGGAATGAAACTTGATATACAATACTAAGTCCTGTGATGCCACAATGCCTCACAACAACACTAGAATCCAATATATCGAAGTCTTAAATTTCATTTACAATAATTAACTTAAGCATCAGTAAAGATAACAGAATACATGTCTTTTGACTTTACACCGTACATAACGGTTAAGACATAATCCGTTATTCTGACGAAACTATATCATCTGAATTAAAAATTTGACCCGGACGGACAAAAAAAAAATACATTTTCACATATTTTAATACAAATCATTAATAACGATTTCAAAATAGGCTTCCCTGCCAATATAATCATGCCAACGATTAATCCAATTTTCGATAAACTTGTTATAAGTCCTTACTGGTATAACCTTCAGTGTCTCCATCGATTTTTGGTTTTTTCGATTTCGGCTAACTTTTGGAGCGCTATTTGTTAGATTATTGGACAGTTTTAACGACATATTCATAAACCCACTTTTTATTACCCGTAATGATGCATTGGGTCCTCAGCTACCTTGTCAATCATGCAAAAGATTCAGGTCTTTCGGTGTACCTCTAGCTTTTACAAGCTTTATACCCAAAACATTAACCTAAATGTGCTGAGTCTATCCATAAGGGATGTTGAGATGTTCTGCTTTCTCTCTGATACTAACACGGCGAATTTCAGGCACTGTTTCTTTAACCAACTTTCAAAGTTATCGTCATAAATAGAGGTTGGCACACACCAAAAAACACTTCTACAAAATTGTCAACGATTCCGTAGGCGTGATGTCATTGGATACACAAAATTTCAAGCAAGCTCGTTTCGAAATTTTTTTCCATAGTAGAAATAGGCAGACAAACTTTTTGCGTCGTAAGCAAACAGCTGCCAAAAACACACTTCTTGACATATGCAGATTAAAATGCACGCGAACAAAAAAAGGTTTCAAAAATCTAGAAAAATTCGTTTTTACCAAATGTACCAGTTTAAATAAACCAGTCCAAGTCATATTTGATCAGATGGAAAGGCTACCTGTTTATTCTGAAATTTATATGGTAAATATCAATAAATGAGTGTGAAATATACGCATCCCATATATAGTATAGGTTCTGACAAATATGGTACTTGACCCTAGACCTACACTCGGAGTGGATTGATTTTCAGAGGAAGAAAAATATATATTTTTCCAATAAAAGTGCATTTACAAGAAGTTTCATGTTAAGTAAATTATAGTATGTAGAGAATTACTATGTATTTGTTAAGCGTCAAGTGATTTTGATGAATATGCGTACTTCTGTTCTTTCTCTTGTTTAGACACTATCTTTTTTTATTTGCTTTCCCAACAATTGTAAACTGCACAAATTTAGTAATTCAAACTGCAAAACTATATACGTATATACCTGAACAAGAACTCAACGACTCACCAGAATTGCTTGAAACTTCTTTAAATAATAAATATATTTACATATTAATATATACATATGTACGTAAAATTATATAATGTCATAATAATGGCTATTACACCTCTATATGGTATATACGTACATACTATATATGTCTACAGCTATATACTCTTAAACATATTTACTTATGAGTCTATCATCTAATATGCAACTTACTTTCATACCTTTCACTACGTGAAATATTTGTTAAAGCAACAATACTTAGTAATACAATATACATATACATATATACTATTATACTTACATACCATACATTTAGACAAGCTTCTTGTAATTTAAAGATATTGTAAAAATGTTGTATTTTGAGGAGCGGACTTAGTACGTCCACTTCCAAAGTATGTATTTGCAATACACATACGAATGTATGTACTGTATGTTGTAATTGCCATATATTATTTACTCGTACATATGTATTAGTATAATTAATTGACTAACGAATAATCGTAATTATGCCGTAGTTGAATTAGGTGTGTGTTGCATGAGTGATTTAGTATTTTATCTAGCGTACATATGTATATTCCGACAGCGGAGACTATACTCGGTCGCCACAGCACTATCGAGATACGTTCCATCCACTTAGGTGGAATGTTTCATGCCGAGGAGGAAATCCAAATGACGTCGACAATGCCGAATTTCATTGGCCAACTACAGGGGTTCATTTTCAATGGACAAAGGTTTGTTCGATTTCAGTTATATTGAGAGATCCAAATATATGCATATTATACAATAATAATATATTGGTATCATTATTTCAGATACATTGATATTGTTAAGAATTTGGGTCCCGAGTTATCGGCACTGCCAAGCGCTACCTTCAAGTTGACAGCGCGTTTTGTAAACTCACCACCCGGTAATCCCTATCATGCTGCCACCTTCCGTTCGAAGCACTCTTATGTAGGTTTACCAATGCTGAAGGCGTACTCAAGCGTTTCGGTGGATTTCCGCTTCAAAACCGTCGAACCCAATGGTTTGTTACTTTATAATGGTGGGCGACGTAATGATTTTATTGCTTTGGAGTTGGTTAACGGTCATATACACTATACCTTTGACATTGGTGATGGGCCGATAACAATGCGTGACAAGTCACGCATACACATGAATGACAATCGCTGGCATCAAGTGAGCATACGTCGACCGGGACCCAAAACGCACACACTCACCGTTGATGATTCATTTGAGATTGTTACACTGACTGGTAATAGCATGCACTTGGAGCTGTCGGGCATACTATATATTGGCGGCGTGTTCAAGGACATGTACGCGAAATTGCCGGCATCAATTTCATCGCGTTCTGGTTTTGAGGGATGTCTTGCTTCTTTGGATTTGGGCGATACATCGCCGACACTAACCAGCGATGCGGTTGTGCCCAGCTCGCTGGTGGTGTCCGGTTGTGAAGGTCCGACCAAGTGCAGTCAGAATGCGTGTGCCAATCGTGGCGTTTGCGTGCAACAATGGAATGCCTACGTGTGTGAATGCGATATGACTTCGTATACCGGCCCGACGTGTTACGATGGTGAATAAAAACGTTTAATCAAATTCAATTGAAATTAAAGTTACCAAATCTTATTATTTCTATTTCTACTTTTATTTCAGAATCAATCGCGTATGAGTTCGGCAACAACAAGGGCATCATTCAATATGCTTTTCCCGAAAATATGCAAGCAGATACCGAAGAAGACAATATCGCTTTGGGTTTCATCACAACCAAATCTGACGCGGTGATATTACGTGTGGAGAGTGCGACCACACAGGACTATATGGAACTCGAAATAGTCGAAGGCAATATATTTATGGTGTATAATATTGGCACGCGTGATTTGCCCTTAGGTGAAATTGGCACTAAAGTGAACGATAACACCTACCATGTGGTGCGTTTTAGCCGTAAAGGTGGCAACGCTACACTCCAGCTCGATGACTATAATGTGCAAACACTAACACCACAAGGTAAACCAGGATGAAGATGAAAAACATTTATTTGGTTCTTTATTTCTTTATATATTTTCTATCAGGGCATCAATCGACCGTGTTTAATACCATGTCTAGTATTCAAGTGGGCGGAAAATTTAGCCGTGGCGGTAGAACACGAATTGAACGTCCATTTGCTGGTGTTATTGCCGGTTTGTCGGTGAATAAGTTACGCATACTGGATTTGGCTGTTGAACGTGACCCACATATAACCATACGAGGAGATGTTCAATTGGTAACTGGAGTATTAGATAGAAATGATCTGCAAAGAATGCAGCAGGTTAGGGAATTTATTTTAAACAATCAAACTTGCAAACTCTTCAAATCTCAAGTATTCTCATCGTAAATAAGTCTTGCAACCAAAAAAAATATATATATCAATCAATCGATCTTTCTCTTTGGTCTTATGCATAAATAATTTATGAGCCATTGAGTGAACAACATTTCACATTCGCTAACGCACACACATTGACACATGCACAATTATATGAAAATGTTCATGAACATTAAACCAAAATTATAACTGAAAACAACACTACACAAATAACTACGAATATTCGTATACATTAATAATTTTTTTGCTTCTAAGATTTTCAAATCGCGAAAGTGGACGACCCTGTTTATATTCTGATGATTTTTATGATTGGAATCACATATTTAATATACTATTAGCAGATTTTCTGAATAAGGACTAATATTTTAGGGATTTATATAGCATTCACAATAAAAGTGGGTTCGATGGTTTGTACATATTGTACCACACCATATAGTAAAAGATACGAGTACAAATACATATCTAAAATGACAGACTAAGTTTTCACAATATGAACAAGTTAAAAACAATCTAATAAAATACCACTGGGATGATTAATATGATTTTAAGATTTAAAATAACTTTCATTCATACCTAAAACAAAACGGTATACAATATATTTTACTTTTCTACGTTGAAATGTTAAGTAAAGAAATAGTAAATTTAAACAATAATATTAATACTTTTTACAAAGAAATCAACATACGCAAAAATATGGCTCATAAATTGTTATCATATACTTTACTGTATATTTGTAAACTTTTCATACCAACTAATAACATTGTGGATTGTTTCGATGTAAAGTTTTATAAAATTGCATTCGCATTCTTTAACCTAATCTTATTTTATTTAAAGAGAATAGCAACCATGCTCCTGATTAATTAAATTGCAATTAATGTTTATGTACATGTAGAGTGTCCGTTATTTCTCAAGTTGATTTTTTTTGTAGACTTCCGCTGAAGTTTCTGTTTTGGCCCTACAAAATTATTCAGCGTAAAAAGCTTTTTATTATACATACGTATTCATACAGTACACCATGTCGTATGAGCAACACATATTTTATAATTCACTGGCTCAGGTCAATTGATGTATAAAAATAACCGCGTATAACTTTTAAAGGAATGCCTTTATGGAAAAGATCAATGAGATCTTATGGGTTTACTTGCTTTATGCGAAATTTCAAAAAATCCCATGTTATATTCATGGGAAAAGAAAAATGATTTGGGCACTGTTTAAATTGAAAATAAAGAGCTAGTTTACATTAGATAATGTTTTTTAGGACAAAACCTAAAGCTTCAGGGTGCATCTGCAGATAAAAAAATCTACATGGGAAATAGTGGACACCGTAATGTATACAAATATTTATACATAGATATTACTATTACTGTGGCATGCGTGAGCGTAGGTTGGTATTCAATATGCTTATTTGATGATTTGCTACTTTTACTGCACTAACAACAAGAAGAAAATTTTACACGTTAAACTCTCATTTATATATACATATATGTGTTTTTAAGATGTTTTATTTTGTCTTTCGTCATTTAACTCTACTGGTTTTTTTAGAATTACATTAAATGAATACGTATTTGCTACTTAACGAATCAACGACTGACTTGCCGATCAAAATTCGTGTTTCTCTTAGCTAATTAAAATCACTTTTGTATTCTCATCATAAACATACTTATATATGGGTATATAAGGAATTCCGCTTAAAATATATGATATACTTGACTTGGACTGATATAAAATAAGTGTTAAAATATTTTTTATATATCACTTAGTTATGCTTTTATTGTTAATGCTACAATACCTCTCACAGGTGCATTTCTTATAGAAACTAGTATACTAGTTCTATTCTAGTTATTTCTAGCCACGTTGTTTGATATATGGTAAAAAACTTTCAAATCAAGGTCGAATAATAAGGAAAACATATTTTTTATGAAGATCTTTGTCTTGATTTTAAACGATCAGTTATCAGCTTATGCTATGGCGGTCCGATCTGAAAAATTTTTTCGAAAATTGTAGCGTTGCCTTGGTTAATATTTCATGCCAAATTTGAAGAAGATATCTTATTAAATAAAGAACTTTTCCATACAAACTTTTGATTTTGATCGTACAATTTTAATGACAGCAAAGAATCTGTTCGTATGGTAGATTGAATGATGGTCCATGACAAATTTTGTGAATATAGCTTGTAAGATAAAAAAGTTTTCCATTTTTCAAGAATTTTATTTTAATCGATGCCATACTAACTAAAAATATTCAAACTGTAAAGATCAAGAAGTAGACTTTGACGGTATACATATAAAGTATGACGATAAAAATGACCTATCTATTGCTTAGTTTAAATTGCTATAGGCAAGGTTTTTTTATTTATGTTATTTTATTTAATTACTTAACATAGGTATAATATTTTGCTCTAAAGCACAATTCCATGTAATTTATATTTGAGCCACCCACTTTTTATTCACTGATTATATTATGCACTAATCAATTTGAGCACATTTCTAAATTCTTTACACCTCTTCATGGTTTACACACAAATGTCTACATATGTATACATAACAGTATATTGTGCATGATACTCGTAATAATCATACCCGAAATTCTACATAACATATTCTAACATATTCCTTTACTTCATATCAAATTGCATTGCTTGTTTTAACATATAATACATACATATGTACATTCATACATACATACATTTTCATGCGCTGTAATGGATGTCATTAAAAAGAAGTATATTTTGATTTGATGTCTATTAAAATGTTTTTCTATATTATTCTGCATTTCATGACATCTACGAGCAGACCCCAGCAAGTGGTTATCCGGGCGCCATTGATGACCTGATCTTCTCGGGTGCTGGTTCTGGTTGTCGCGGTGACGATGAAGATGAGTGTACACCACCATTCGAATCGGGCAGCGGTGATGATTTGATCACGCCTGTGTATGTGCCGCCCACTAAACAAACAACAACCGCACAAGTTGCTAATGCAGACAAAACTAACGGTACGGAACGTGCTTGTGACGATGAGGACTGCCTGCATGGATCTGGTGATTACGGCGAGACTACGGAGCAGTTCACTTCCACGAGCACAGCGAAAGGATCTGGTAAGTAACAGTGTTTGTTTTATTAGTAAAGTAGTAGAGAATTTATTTAAAAGTTAAATTGCCACTTAGTTGGTAGTCAGTATGGTCATTTCATTGGCATATCACTCACAATAAATACGCTGAGAGGAAGTAGAAGAGAGCGGCGACTGGATTAAGAGATTTAGTATATAGGAAATCTAATGAACCGGGAAATTAAATTTATGGGCATGTATTATACAGTTTTTTTAAATAATAATATATTAAGGTTTATCGGAGACTTTCTGGAACTGGAACTGGGAGAAATTTATTTATTTAAGAGAAATTGTTCTTAAACAACCTTAAGACTGTTACTTAATGAATTTCAAGGTGCAGTAGATAATTTTCGAAAATGTTATAAATGATAAAGTGAATTTGAGAGATAAAGTCATAGAGATTGAGACATGAGATGTTGACCAATCACTTTCAGGAAAGGCGGAGTTTCGTAACCGGAATATGCCACGATATAAAATTATATAATGTTTCTATACCTTAAACAGGGTATAACAAGTTTGCCACGAAGTTGGTAACGCACAGAGGGAACCCTATAAAGTATAATATATTTTATATAAATGATCAGCGTGATGAACTAAATCGACTTAGCTATGTCAATCTGTCTCTCTGTCTATCGGTCTGTCTTATGCGCAATAGCCTTATATTGGTATATCGATCTAAAACTTTGCACACGTCCTTTGCTCCCCAAGAAGTTGCTTATTTGTCCAAATCGACGATATGGGACAACTATTTGTATATAGCTGTCATACAAATTGATGGATCAAAACCAAGTCCTTGTATAGAAAATTTTATAACTTTTCAAGATATTTTTAAAAATTTGGCATATATTGTTGCACAAGGTAACACTGTAATCTTCTAATTTTACGAGTATTACTCAAATCAGGCTACTACAGCAAATGGCTGCCAATTAAACTGACCGATCAAAATTTTTGAAGGTTGATTGTATCAAATTTCGTGGCCGATTACGATATCAGGTTTAGTTCTACATATAGTTCCTATAAGAAACGCACCAGTAGAGGATACAAAGTTTCTGAAAAAATCATGCAGGCGTTCAGACAGGCTTTAAAAGACCAGTTTATATGTTGTTTGACCTTAAAGAAGGATAAATTCGGATAAATACCTTTATAGAATTAGTGTGACCTATTTTCATCAAAATAAAAATATACCTAAGAACATATCTAAAATAAAATTTTGAACCTTCAGTTCGGTTATTACATTACACATTTGTAAAATGTCTCGCTATGCTTAGATATCTACGTACATAAATATTGACTAGAGTTATAGGTATACTACTAAGTAAGTACCTTCGTTAATTATGTGCACCTTGTTCTGCATTTCTATAGCTTTCAATTCTAGTCTAGATAAAATAGAAACATTTATTACCAAAATCCGTTGCAAAGATTATACATACATATTAAAAATATTCCACCTAATCGACACCTATTTATTTAAAGATATTATGTACTAAACATACAAACAATATTTGCATGTGTTCAATGATCAGTTTGCCAAACATAGCTGATTATAATACCGAAGAGAAATTCAGTGTAGTCTAATTTGTAGTCAAACATGCATATTAGACACTTGTGTGTATAAACAAGTGTATGTATATATGTAAATAGCATGGCTTTGCCCTATCAGCTCATTAAGAGATAGATTTGCGTATCATTTGACTGTACCAAACATTATTATTTCATAATGTCAGACATATAAATCGCAATTCGAAGCATTCAATTCGCTAAATCAGACAAAGAACTAAACAATTACTAAAATAAAAATATATAACAATCAACAACATTTCAATCAATCAATCAATCAACCAATCAGCCATATTCGTACATTCACCACAACCACTGCCGTTCGCCCATGGAAGCTCGTTACTCGTTTCTTGTTAATCGCTGTTCCACAACTTGAAATCTTGATTTCATGATTCTGAGTTGGAATTATTTCTTTCAGAAAATGAACTCTTCATATTTCTGACTCTGATCGTGCAATGGATTTGCCACTTGCAAACAATGCAATCGTAGAATGAGTGGAATATGTGGCGAACGTGATCACAACAACAAGTTATGCAATCTAAAAATATTCGAAATAAATGAAAAAGCCAAACCTAAAAAAAGAATAATAAATGAATAAAATATTTAATGAAATATCAGAAAAATTCTATCAAAAAGATCAGTTAACTCACAACACGACCATGCCCACCACGATCACGATCAACAACACTTGCAAAATTACAACAAAAGACAACATCACCACCATTTTGCCGGCCACTCACTACAACTACTACGTGTTAACTGTTATGTAATTACGTTTTAACTACTGCAAAATATCAACGTCTTTTATGTCTAAGTTAAAGAAGGCTTAAAACTCTAGCGGCAGCATTAAAATTGGTTCAACGTTTAAAATAAATAACCTCAGCGGAGTGTTGACATGACGGCTAACTGTAATATAGTAAAATTGTCGCATTTGTCAAATGTCAGATGAGGTGCTTACAAGACATATGATCACAAACAAAAATAATAATAATGAACTTAAAATTAAGGGAACCGCTCCGAATATAAATATGTTGAGGTGTATATATATACAAATATAATACATATGTACATACATGCATACAAATTTATAAATAATTGATTGTAAGCGTTATATAGTTTGTATTTGTGGGTAGTAGGCGTGAAATGAGTAAATATAGGTGAAATTCTAGGACACGTATGTAAATGTATATTTGTAGTTATGGGTTTGTATGAAAGCGCGCAGGTGGGGCTAAGCATGCATGCAACATTACTTGTATGCATGTGTATGTAATTGCGTATGCATATATATATATAAGTGACTTAGAAATGCACATGTTATTCTTTAAAACACCTATCCCTATTTAATTAATTTACACATTTAACAATCTCAACTACTATGTACTCTTATGTCTATTATGTATTCACAGTTGATTCTTGCAGTTATGTATGTATGTTTATGTATAAGAAAATTACTCGTTTACGCACTTGCTATAGCTACCTATATACATATCTATTGTACATATGTTTATGTAGACAAATGTTGTCTAGCTTTTAACAAATACTCATATATATATGTATGTCTAAACATTTGTTGAACTGCTTTTTTTTGGCAATTAAATATTAAGCGAAGCAATAACAATACATCAAATTACGATGAAACTAGTATACAAATAAAAGTCTGTGGTACTTTCAAAGATCAACATCTTTTTATCTTGCTTAAATATGGTAAGACATATACCATCGGATCAAAATTGAAACAGAATTGAACCGGACTGTCACACCAAAAAAAGTAATAATAATAACAAAAAATCTATTTTATTACAAATCTTTATTACGGCCTTCAAAATAGGCTTTTTTGAGTCCATGCAAGCATCATCATCATCAGCTCCACAACCCGGTGCGGGTCTTCACTTGCTGCAATTTAATTTCTGTCTCTTGCTTGCAGCTTTTTCTATTTGTATAAAAGTAGCTTTTAAATCATCTATAGATGTCGCAACGATGTCAGCTTAAGCCAAAATTTGAGCGCACGATTGAATAGTAGGCATGAAAGCCCATCCGTTTGTCGTAGACTTTTTTTTTATATAGAGTTTCCAATTCGTAACACATTTCCTACATTCGCCATTGTGGCTTTAATTAGATTTACTAATTGAATCGGTATTCCAAACTTATATAAGACGTCATAGCAAAACGACCTATTTAAAATATCATATTCCGCCTTGAAATCTTTAAGCTAGTGAAATAATGTGATATATTTTCCTGTGCATTTCAAAGAATTTGTCTTACTATAAATATCGGTGGTGCCTCTACCAGTTATAAATCCTGCTTCGTAGTCACCCACGATTTGGTTCACTTTTGGGCGTAATCGTTCATGCAGAATATTGGAAAATATTTTATAGGCTATATTTAGTAGTGTTATTGGTCTATAGTTTTCGCATTGATATTTTTCTCTTTTTTGAACAATGGGCTCATTATTCCGGTTTCCCATTGCTGTGGCATGCTTTCTAGTTGAACCATATTAAACATATGGCGGAGGGAAACACAGTCCATGTGTTTGTACAGCTCTCTAGGGCTCTCAGATTGCCTGTGGTACTTCTCTTTGCAGGTTTTCATTTGGACTGCGTCCGTTGAGAATGCCTTGTGTTTCAGTTAGCAGGTGTGTGTCTATGCGGCATATAGTTGGGATTAAATTCCGCTCTATCGCTGTTGATGCTTTTGTAGAATTGACGACAGTTTCTTGAATTGTAATTCGCTTGTAGAGTTTTGAAAGTTTGTTTGGTACCTTCTCTCTTTTTATCTCTGTGAATGCATTTTCCAAGCCTTCTAAGTTCTTTGCAGAGTTCGGTAGGTGCTCTTGCGTTACGATTTAGCATAGTCTTGCTTGCATCATTCTTTTTCAAACTTGCCAATTTGCACTCGTCATCTAACCATCTTGTTTGTTTCTTTAGGTGCATTTTGCCTACAATCTCAAGGAATGTTTTCTGAATGATCTTCATTAGTTTATCCCACATCTGCGTCAGATTTCAACACTCATCCAATGTCTTTCAGTTTTTTGTTTAAGTGGTCAATGCAAACATGCCAACGCTTCTACCAATTTTCCGTACACTTATTATAAGCCTCCGCTGTGATGGCCTTTAGTGCCTTCTCTTGGTTTTTCGGTTTCGGCTTAGTTTTGGAGCGCATCTCTTGTCTCTTTGATGCTAGTACTTCGATTTTCAAACACTGTTTCTTTAACCTTTACGATATTGTCGTCATTAGCAGAGGTGCATGGACGACTCGCATGAAGCAAGTTTTCTATGACTTCACCACCTTCACTGAATACTTTGTGCTACGCAAATACTTATGTTTGTGATAAGGTAGAGTTTTTAATGATTCCGCAACCGTGATTCCATTGGATAGGCAAAACTTCAAACAAACACGTTGCTCAATTTTTGTTTATTTGATAAAATTCGCTAGACAAACTTTTCGTAAATAAATAGGAAAACATTCTTTATCGATTCCGTGTGCTCGCGCAGTTTAAATGCATAAGTCCGAGTCTTATATTCTAAATTAAGAAACAATATTAAAAAATTGATGTAACTAATGCTGTAAATAGCAATTTAGAAAAAACAGGGTTCTAAATTTTTTTAGGTACCTCCTCGTAACTTAAACGCCTGGACAAATTTGACCTTGATAAAAGGGTGAAATGTCATTTATAATGAAATTAGAATTTATCTGGTCCAAGGTGGATAACTTAAGAAACTTCTTGTGAAACATCAGTGACATCTGAAATAGTATTATCCATGTTTCCAGTTGTCTTTTAACATACAGGCTTGAAAAGATTCGTCGTAGAAAAATAGGTAGAAAACCAATAGTTGAATGTTAGAATGCCTTGATAGTGTCCATTTAAGATTTTCTACCGTTTTAATAATGAGATAATGAAGTATTTCCCACAAAGGGAGGAAAATGCACATTTTGAAAGACAAATTAAAAATAGCAAGTATTCAAGAAATGCGTAAAGATCTAAGAAATTTGGATGCGTAGAACATTTTCACTAATTTGGGGGTTATATATATTTTCTCTATATTGTAAATAAAATTAAATGTTCACCTCATTACAGAACCGAATCATGAAATCATATCGTCGACAACAGATGGCGTTAACCGCCGAGTTGATACATCTAGCCCAACCACAGAACAGCAACGTTCCACCACTACCGTATCCAGCAGTGTAATGACACGAACCGAGAGTCAAACTTATGCGCCGCGAGAAACTACCGTACCGTATAGCGCTACTACGAGCATAGTCACGCAGCAACGCCAGACATCAACACCCACTTCGATTTACACGACCTCCACGCAACGAGCATCCACATCAACCCTGACAACAACAACTAGCCAAGCAACGCCAACACCTGAAATCCATTCCACAGCAACGGAACATCAAACCACACCTTATGACACCGTACAGGTGTTCAGTGGTGGTGAGGGCGGTGAACGACATCACGGCGACGAAGATGAAAAATCAAATATGATCTTCAATGGTGAGCATACATCACTGCCGGAGGAACGACCACCACCGCACATACCGTCACCACATGAAACACCGCCATACTATCAAATGCCACCACAACAACCGCCCACTTATGGCAATAATTATCGCTCCAAGGGTAAGGGTAGTCGCGTCAACTCCATCGAAGAGGAACGCACCGCAATGATAATCGGCATTGTCGCCGGCATACTTATAGCTGTAATACTAGTAATATTGCTGGTGTTGTGGCTGAAATCGACCGGTGATCGCAACTATAAAACGGAAGGGGAGAAAGCCGCTGCCTATGGGCATAATCCCAACGCGGCATTGCTAGGCAATAGCAGTACCAACGGTTCCTATCATCAGCAGCGCCACCACGGGACTCACCATCAGAGCAATGGCCATAATGCTAGTGGTGGTGGTGGTGGAGGCGGCGGCACTGGTGGCAGTGGTAGTGGCAGCATGCTCGGCGCAGCTGGCGTCAATAGTGGTGGTGTCGTCGGTTATGGTTGCATTAGCTCTGGCATGGCCAGCACCGGTGCCGATGGTCGTCCACAAATGGCTGGTCTAGTGCAGCCCAAACCGAAGAAACGAGATTCTAAGGATGTAAAGGAATGGTACGTGTAATTTTTTTTTTTTTTTGTTTTGAAGTCTGGAGTGTTGAGAAATGGAGTGGTTAAGTATTTTAATATTTAATTCAAATTAGCAATAATAAAATAAATAAATTTATGGAATACATATTTAGTCAAAAGCACACAAACACCTATATGCACACACATACACAAATACACCTAGTGAAATACGAATGGATTCAGAAAATAGTTTAGATATACTAATCCGGAAAGGTTGCGATTGTATACGTAGCGGTTACCTAAGCGAAATAATGGTCGACAAAATATTGAAAATTCAATACGAAAGTAGAGTATAAAAGCAAGCCAATGAAGAGAAGTAACAACAACAAACAAACAGCCAACCAAAATAAAACAAAAACAACATTTATAATATTTATGACAGTTTAAAATATAAAAATATACTAACACTTGATTATTAATAATAACAAGTTGAACAATAAGATAACAAAAAAACTAAAACTCATATGTATGTATGTATATGTAATGTACAAAAAAAAGCAAAACGAAAAAGATAATAATCATGAGGTGCATTAGCGGCAGTTTCAGCAATGGGACAATAGAATTGATTACTTTATTCCAAAGGATCTTAACACAAAAAAAAAAAATTTTTACCAATGAAATTCTTAAAAGGTCTTCAGCATCGCTTCTCAAGTATAATAAAGCCTATTGTTGGCAGATTGTGGAGTCAATATTAATAAATAAACAAGATAATAATTATGGTAAAGAATTTAGTTCGGTAATTTGTTGCGGTCTCTGCAATGAGACGACAGATTAATGTTTTCAAATACTGCAGCTTTATTCTTTTAAACTTCCATAGCTAAATACGATTTGTCATGATTTGTCAGTTGTGGCTTTTAGATCTCAGCAATACTTCGGTGTTTTTTTAGAATTATCGAATACTTATGAAGTCTTATTGGAGAATAGTAGCTTTTTTAAGGCAAACTAATCTTTTAGTTGCCACTTTTTTGACGTGAAGTACTAATATCAAGAGAGAACGGGGATAATATATCACCTATATAATACAAAAACTTTATATTAATATTGATATCCAGATTATAAGTACATTTTAAAATAAGGATTACTTTTGGAAGCTTAATTTTTTAGAGATTCCAGTTAATACCGATAAAAAATGTTACAAGGATTATATTATATAAGATTAATCATCAATGTATTCCAAAAGTTAAAGCTATAAAATATAAAAAAGATTTGTATGTTCTTTGTGGGTTGAAGTCATTTATTGATAGAATGTATATGATCCTGTTTCGATTGTCTGTTTCGGCTGCTGATGTTCCGAGTGAATCCAAGTATTATTTTGTGTTATAAAGCAGTATTTTTGCAAATCCAATGGGTTTCTTTGTTGAAAAATCCGTTAGTAACAAGTGTATGGTTTAAGTTGAGTATTAGTGAGCAGGAAATAGAGCTAGTGGCAATATATGAGTATGAATATAATACTTAATGTGAAGTACATATATTTAGAATAAAGAAAACTACGAAACAAATGTAAGGAAACACTAAAAGTCGACACCAAAATCGATTCAATTAGGTGGGCAAGGAGTCGAAGATTTATTAAATAGACGAACTAATACACTTAAATGTACTTGAAACCGTGTTGGCAATAATAATGACAGAAATGAAATAGCAACGCATTACAAAAAGGTTTTAGAAAATAATTGCCGTCTAACGGTGAAAATCTATGGCTTAATAAATTATATAAAAATACATAAATAGACAAAAAAAAAACAATACCAAGTAGTTCCAAATTCAAGCAAATCTATATGAATATTTAACCAAATTTGATTCGTTGAATTCTTCATGTAAAGTTACAACAACAAAAAGCAAAATTTAAAAACTTAAATATATATATATATACATATGTATATATAAGAAATGTGGTGCTGTAATAATGTAATACTTAGTCCCAAATTATTAAAAAATAAATTCAAAATCTTTCATTTAGTAAAAAAGAATTCATAACTTAATGCTAAAAACCAAAAGTAAAATACTATAACAAGCAACTTTAAAGAAGGCACTTATTATAGTGATATACAATATACATATTATAAATATAATGACAGAGAATCCGTGACAAAAAATTAAATTTAAAACTAACCATACTAAAGCTATATAATAATCACTTATAATATTAACTATTGGCTTTGACACTGCAATTACAACAAATAGGATCATATGGGAAACAACACTGTGCTAGACGATTCTCTCGACGCGATTTACACGTCACACGCCGATGTACATATACTCAGTCATTCGGTCGAATAGCTCAAAATCACGCAACAAAAAATGGCGGGCTTACTGCACTTACTTACATCGTTCACTATACACTCCCAAGCACACACACACACAACTTTACTAAGCTACACACGCGCATATACATATAGCTCATTATTTGGTCTCTCGTATCCGACGCCGTGTTGCGTTATCTTTGTATGTATTAAGAGTATGAAGGTAATATTGCCAGTGTTCATCGTATTTAACTTTTTTACAATTTTTATTATACAAAAAACACCGTATCAACTTATAACAGCTATTATAATGCTAAATATTTTACAACAACAAAAAAGTGCGTGTTTGTATATCGTTTTTTGATGCTAAATACAATAGAGATTTTTTTGAGTTGGTTTTTTAAGAGTTTTTGAAAGACTTTTTGTCTACACTTAGACTTAAAAAAATGCTTAACTCGGACATATCAAATGCAAAATAAGACATTTTGAAATGCAAACATTTTACTAAAACTAAGCGAAATAAATACAAATTAAAACACAAAAACGAAACATACAAACATACATACACGTGATCACTTTCAGCATGCAATTATTCTCATCCTACTAACCCTGGGTCCAGCTTGAGGCAGCATAGTCAGCAAATTTAAATTGTTTTATTTTTAATTGTATTAAAATAATGTACTTGCATATCATTTTTGCTTGAGAAAAGAAAGTAGATTCATACCAAACCAACCTAATCTAATTTTTTTGAATGAAAATTGAAATGAAATGAAACTATGAAATGCGGCCTTTGGAGCACTTAATTTAGCTTTGTTCCCAATTTAGTAAAATTTTTTCTCTAATGCGCCACTTCAGCGAGTATTTTTTTTATTTTATGCAGAACATTGGGTACTTAACAGTAGTAGTTAACAGAAAAAGCAAGCTTACATGTAAGCCTACATGAGTTCCTCGTACTTATCTGCTCGTCCTATAAGTAGATTGAACATATTGTATATATACAATTATGAGTCTATTTAATTAATTTAAAACAAACTAAAACATAATGATATTTCCGCCTGTTATACATAAGTTCTCCAAAAAGGAAACTAACTATTACTTAAGCATTTTTAAAACTTATTTATTTATGGAGAATGCGCCTATGCGCATGCTCTATATAACCAATTGAAAATATAATTTAATTAACGTTTAAATACATTTTTTTTTGTCTTTTAATCCCGGAAATCTTAAATAAAAACATTTATCATTTTTTTTTTGGATTGAAAAAATTAAAAAGAAATGTTAAATCAATTGAAAAAAATTATATTAATTGATTAAATTTAGAATGAAAAGTTTTAATATATTATATACTTGCTATCTTTGTAAAAGGAAAGCTTATTTTTAATAAAAGTTCTTTATCCCATTAATTCTACATTTTGGTTTTAAAAATATTTTTTCATTTGTAACTCCAATTTTAATTTTGATTTTTGGATTTAAAACTAAACTCCTAATTTTTAGTTGAAAATTTTGAGTGAAAAAACCTAACTTCCAATTTTTAATTTCGATTTGAAAATACAATTTTTAACCAAAAATTGTTTAATTAAAAAATTCGCAACCCTGAATATAAATAACATTGACATATTTGACTGTTAACATTTCATTTTTGTTAAGTTGTAAGCAGAAGTACTTAACATTATATTCTCTGCTATAAAATTACAACAGTAACTGTTAGCATTACATGTTCTGTTAGACTTTATTAAATCTGGAACTTCGTAAACTTATTATTATTATTTTTTTCTTTAACTAAGAGATACGGATACTAGAAATTTAAACTACCAGTTTGTAATTGACATATAAGAATCCAAACAACATACTGATATTCAAAAACACATTGAAACATTGATATTGTACTCTCAAAAAATTGTTTTTTCAAAAAAAAAAAATACATATATATATAAATTTATTTCATATACTTGTTTCAAAAATGAAATAAGAAGATGCTTAATACGGATAGTTTCAAATACTTTTTTTTAATACATTTTTAAATAAAATGTGAAGTAACTATAAGGTAATTATAATTTTTATCACTAAATTTTAATTGCTTTCATTTGTCACATTGACACTTCAGATTCGGGATATTCACCAACACTCAAAAGTGCTGGAATTTCTTAATTTCCATCATCTCAGCACATAAATTTAAACTAGACACTTTATCAAATAAAGAAAATATTAAAATTTTTGACTTAAAAAAAATAAAAGTTACAGTAATAATAATTATTATAATATGTGTGAATTATTGCATTAAACAAGTATCTAAACATTTGTGCACCCGAAATTGTCGTTGAAAGTCGAAAAAAAATTTACATTTCTCCGAAGTTCTCTTTGCAAGTTTTATTAATTAATGTACACGATGGAAACTGTTAGACAATGGAACCGAATTGCGAAAAATGCATAAAATAATACTTTATATTTTACTATGATATCTTATTGTTGCAATGTATGTACTTAGAAAAAGTATGAAATTTAAAAAAATATACAAAAACACTGAAATTTCTCCTAATATTTTAAAATGAAAAATAGAAATAAACTATATATACATATATAAAGTTGTGGTTGCCACATATTTTGGACTCCATGCAAATTTACCTCCGAAACACACGCAACACGCGACTATATCTATGTAAGCACGCCCAGTTATGATATTGCACAAGAAAATCTGCATTTATTGTTATTTTCATTCAAACAAATTACCCGAAAGATAATAACGACCAAATTTCATGTAAATATTATATTATATTCATGGAGCGAAGAAAAAGATGGAATAGAGTTGTGTGACAACGTGCAAATGTGAGTTATGAAATAGACAGGCCTTTAGTCGACCTAGGCTTATTTGAAAACTTTGAAAGATGAATATTTTTTTGAAGAATGGCGTATGGGTTAAAGACACTTGTAGCTGCTATAATAGAAGTCTATTTTTTTTATAAATTTATGAACTTCTTTCATATATTTTTGGAAATTTGACTCGAGCGATAACAAAGTAAATTATTTTTGACGTTTTCAAACCGGTACAGAAGTGTAAATATAATTTTTGTAGTGTATTTTCGGGTTAATAGTGTAACTTGGATTGAACACGGATTAGGTTTTTAATTATTTCGATTATTTAATTCTCTACGAGTCAAGTATTTGCTTATTTATCTTGAATAACTAAAGCCTACTAATTTTATATTAATCGCTTTATGAAAAATGAACTAGTAGTAAAGTATAGGGTCAATATAACCCAAAGTCATTGCCACGGGTTAAGCCTAAGACCCAAAGAGCTACAATCGCTTTTATCAATAACGCGGGTGCATAATGTACCTATGTACTCAGATATTAACAATAATTTTTCGATAAAACGATCTACAAATAATAATTTGACTTCGTGAGGTTCAGAATAGCCACGCTTTGCCACTTAATAAGCTTATAATAGTTTTTAACTAAAATATTTTCTTTTAAGTTTCTGTAAATTTCATTTTTATGTCAGCTAATTACCCGATTTATAAACTAATTTCCACGAACAATCTACTACAACACATTCCAGGCAAAATGTTACTCATACACACTGGATGCCCCAGAAAGCATGCAATTGTATGTGCACAGTAAAGCCTTTGCAATTACAACTGAACTTATTAGTATTTTGAAATAAGTTGTACAAATTACATGCAAAGTTTTTCGGTTTTTTTTTAATTTAAGAATGCGGTAATAATATACAACAGTTACTTGTATTTATATGATTTCAACGGAATTACCTAAATGTATGTATGTAACATTGATTAACAAGTATTAGCTTAAAAACTAAATTTAAGTAAGAAAGGTAGAGGTAAAACTAGGAAAGTAAAACAACAGCAACAACAACAATATAGCTATACACTAAAAGTACATATATGGAAAGGAAACAAAAATCTATGTGCACATATGTATAGGTAAAGTGTTGATTACATATGTGTAATGTATATGCATTTGTATGCAATTTACATTTATACATATATACGAATATGTTAGCTGATAATGGAGAATACGGTTTGGAATGTTAATAAATTGACAAATTTTCACTTGCATTCAGAAGTACATATGAAACTTTACTCTAACAACCATATATAGGCTTAAACCCATTGTTATTTATTATTATAACTATATATATAATATATAAAATAAAAAATGTGTAAAAAAATATCAACTAAATATATATATATGTATGCATATATACACATACCATACATACAAACACATATTAATACACACATGATAAATTACTTACATACACACGCATATACTTACTTACATACTTATAATATATAGGCCGCATATAATGAATGGCAACAGAAGTACGCGATAAGTTGAGTAGACACAAATAAATTAATATATATATACATAGGTACATACAACTAAATTACACAAACATCACATATATATATATGTATATATACAATAATATACAGTATATATATATGAATACAATATATGGTATATCGTATGTAGCGGCAGTGATTGTTAAATTGCTTTGTTTGTTTGTATTAGATTTTATAATTTATAATAATAAAAAAAAAGATGATGAAGAAAACAGAATGACTGATAAATCGCAAAAATAAAATAAATCTAATAACAAATAAATAATAATAATAAATAATATTTATTGAAAATATTGTTGTTTTTACAGTAAACACAATTGGTAAGGAAATAGTTACACATACAAATCGAATTGAATATTTTATAATTTAAAGTTCAGGGAATTGTATTCAAATGGTTCATATATATAAATAATAATTTGAGGAATGCTTGTTGAGTTATTTATTGTGTTTATTAATTTTCGAAGTCGATCTAAATGGGCCCTCGATTTAAATAGTTAACTTACGTGTCCTTAATTTAGGTTTGAAGAACAAAAAACTGTATAGAAACAAGTAAGGAGAGGCTAATTTCGGTTGTAACCGAACATTTTATACTCTTGCAACCTGCAAGGATCAAAGCCGGGGAAATACCTTCAGGTGTTGGCAATATTAAAAAATGTAGCGAAATGGTTCAGTTTCATTTTTCAACGAAATGATGAATGGATTACAATCAAATTTGGTATATTATTAACAAATCTTGAGAGTCACTTATTTGTATTAATATATTTTAGTTCCAGTCAGCAAAAATTATATTAAAATCATCCTTCAAAGATTAATAAGTGATATAAAGTCAACCGAAGAGGCTAAAATTTAGCATATTGATATGAGGTTCAGACTGAGGCCAATTACATTTATGGTATATTGAGCGCCAAACCATTAATATAACCTTTAAAAAAACGTTTCCACTTAATTTCATTAAAATATCATAAATTTCGACCCTATATCTAACTCGATTAGTTTTAGGTGATGCAAACATACATGTTGCAAGAGTATAAATATATGCAATTATCTGACCAATTGTTGTGCTTTCTAAAAAAGGTGAAGAAGTGTCGTTGTTTTCCTCAAGATTCGTTAAAATATATATATAATTATCAGCGTAACTGAGTCGATTTAGCCATGTTCGTCCATCAGTATATACGTGAAGTCTCTAACAATTTTGAAGTATCGATCTGAAATTTTGCGCATTTCTTCCCAGAAGCGCCGATATATGACCACTATAGGATATCGCTGCAAACTGGTCGAACAAAATCAGATTCTTGTTTTGAAAATATTTATATTTGATAAGATATATTCACGACATTTTGGATAAATTATTGCCCAACGCAACGCTACAATTTTAGAAAAAATTATTCAGATTAGATTACTATTGTATGTATATCGGTATCGCACAAACTAACCGATTAAAATCAAGATAAAGATCTTCATAAAAGAAGACAGCTAATTAAACTTCATTCCACTTGAAGGTTGTTGATTGTGCGTTGAATCAACAACTAAATGCGTCAGAGACATTACATTTTACATCCTGGATGGCACAAGAGGGCTCTATAGGAGCCGGTGTTGAAATTGGACGATGAACGTTTTACCGCCCACTTTTAGGGAAAATCACTTACCTCTGGACCTGCCCAACCGATTTCAACCAAATTCGGTACGTAAGATTCTTTTAAAATTCCTATGTCACAGTACAAAAATTGAAATCGTATTACAACCATGCCTACTATCAATATAAAAATAAATCAAAAATTTTCGAAAATCTGAGTGACTTTATACCGCATTGATGGTATGTGAGGTATCTTAATGAAATCCACGTAGTATTTTATTAGTACTTGGTATGTTAATAGTGTGTGGTATTGGCAAAAATATATATAAGCGGGTCAATACTACCCCCAACTCCCATATAATGATTTTCGTTTTTCTAACAAATTTTATGGCGAGTATGTGGGTCAGTTAGTTTTATTTATATATAAAATTACTTTAAAATATGTTCTCAAATATACCTGAGCAATGTCAAGATTAATGTATTCTGCCCGTCCCTTTCTCTGCCCCCAATATACCCCATAAAATGATTTCCGTCTTTCCACCTGTATTTAAACCATTCAGGTTGTTCAATTCCTTACTTGTTATACTCTCGCAACTTGTTGCTACAGAGTATAATAGTGTTGTTCACCTAGCGGTTGTTTGTATCACCTAAAACTAATCGAGTTAGATATAGGGTTGTATATATATAAATGATCAGGATGAAGAGACGAGTTGAAATCCGGGTGACTGTCCGTCCGTTCGTGCAAGCTGTAACTTGAGTAAAAATTGAGATATCTTTATGATACTTGGTACCGTAAGACGGTTGGTATTGTAGATGGGCGTAATCGGACCACTGCCGCGCCCACAAAACGCCATTAATCAAAAACAAATAAATTGACATAACTAAGCTCCGCAATAAGATATAAGACTGTTATTTGGTACACAGGATCACATTAGAGAGATGCATCCGCAGTTAAATTTTTTTTTTAAGTGGGCGTGGCCCCGCCCCTAATAAGTTTAATGTGCATATCTCCTAAACCAGTAAAGCTATAAGAACAAAATTCACTGGTAACAAATGGTTTTGGCACCTCTATCGACAGTGTGAAAATGGATAAAATCGGGTGACAACCCCGCCCACTCCCCATATAACGGTACTGTTAAAAATACTAAAAGCGCGATAAACCAAGCACTAAACACGCCAGAGACATTATTTTTTATCTCTGGGATGGTATGAGATGACTTTATAGGAACCGCGTTCAAAATTAGTCAGTGGGCGTGGCACCGCCCACTTTTAGGTGAAAACCCATATCTTGAGATCTGCTTAACTGATTTCAACCAAATTCGGTATACAACATTATTTTAATATTTCTATATTATAGTGCGAAAATGGGCGAAATCGGACTACAACAACGCCTATTTTCCATATAACACCATTTTAAATTTCATCTGATTTTTTCACTTTCCAGTATGCAAATCAAGCAAGAATGATTATATCGGGGTAAAACTTTGCGTGAATAATACGTTTAAAGTATGCCACCTTGTGACCAAAAAAAAGTCTAAATCGAACCAAAACTGTTCAAGCCCCTAAGTACTGAATATGTGGACCCCAGTGCCTATAGTTGACCTTCTACCGAAAATATCGGTCAATCCACAAAGAAATCTCAAACGAGTATACCATTTGCTTTGCGAGAGTATAAAATGTTCGGTTACATCCGAACTTAGCACTTCCTTACTTGTTTATTTATACCATTCACCAGATCGTATTATATACTTCAGCAACTAAATATAATAAATCCTAGTTATAACCAAAACTAAAATTTTGTTTTAATATGAGCAGTTTCTATTTTATATCGTTTTTTGCTTCTTCTATAAACTTATGAGAAGTGATGTTAAGGTGTATAAAATTTTAAATAAAGGTAAATGTGAAATTTGGAAAAATATATATTTCTTTTTTTTTTGCATATTTCGATAGTATGTGACTTTAAAAATACCATAATAAAATTTTAAATTAATATTTGAAATATTTTTTGACAAATTTGGCGAGAAATGTCTTCATATGAGTTCTCCAAACAATGACCAACACATGTTTATTGATCTGATCAAAAATCGAATTTTGGCAGGCCGAAAACAACCAAAATTTTTGGTCAAATTCAATCTTTTTGTAAATTTTTGGTTTTCTGACCGTAGGTCATTGTGTGGACAATGTGTTCTTTAGAGAATTCTTTTTAGCGCCGTCAGAGATAGCGTTTAACTCGAAAATTAATAATGATTAAATTTTTTCCTTAAATATTTTACTGTATATTCTTAAAATATGTATAAACATACCCTTACAATTTTAAAACAAGTGGTAGTCTTTTTTTAATTCCGGAAAGTCACCTGCTTTTGTTTGTCACATTAGGTATGCTTCTTAAATTTTTTGGACTAACATTTGGATGTAACAAATAAACTACATTTAGCTAATATAATCGATTTTTTTTTTAAACTATGTATGGTATATGAAAAACATATACTTAGTACATAGGATTCTACGTAAGAACATAAGTATGTACTTGTGCTCGTAGGTGAGCTTGTAAGTTGATTATAGTCAGAGCTGATAAGACAAAGAGCAATTTGTTTATTTATACTCATTACACTTGACATTGTCGTAGAAGCGAGCGAGTGATCGCCTGATGTGTAGTCAAGTGGTGGAATTTCAGTCTGAACTAAGTACGCACCGTGATAGGTTTGAGAGTCAGTCTGGTTTGTTTTTGCGTAAAATAATCAAATCACACTTGCAATAAAATGCAATTCGTAGCATCTGGTAAGCTTTTTTTGTATTTATTCGCACAGAAATACGTCCATATGTACATATGAAGGTATGTATTTTTCACATTTCAATTACGTATAGAGCATCCCCATCGACGATTCAACCCATTAACTGGTCATTGGGTGCTGGTGAGTCCACATCGCATGCTGAGACCATGGACTGGGCAACAGGAGGCGCCACTGAAAAGCAACATACCCGATTTTGATCCCACTAACCCACTTAGTCCAGGTGTGGCGCGACCAAATGGAACCGTATGTTATGGAAAACAAACTAATGTACAATTTCATATACACATATATACATGATCTTGTTTGCATGCAGGTGAATCCGGTGTATACAGGAACATTTGTTTTTACAAATGATTTTCCGGCTTTGATGGAGAACAATCCGGTACCACCACTGTCAGATGATCCCCTATTTCAAGTGTCGGAGGCTAGAGGTACTTGCCGAGTTATGTGCTTCCATCCCAAATCGAATGTAACACTACCACAGATGACCGTCGCGGAAATAACTGCCGTTATAGATGAGTGCGTGTTCTACTTCACATGAGCCAATTATAAATCCATTAATCCATACGTGAATTTTTAATCAACACAGATGGATCAAGCAGTTCAATGAATTAAGTAAAAAATTTCTCTGGGTACAGGTGTTTGAGAACAAGGGTGCTGCTATGGGTTGTTCGAATCCACATCCACACTGCCAAATATGGTGCTGCTCATTTCTGCCCACCGAGCCACAAATTAAAGACGAACGTTTGCGCAATTACTACACCAAGAACGGCCGGCCATTGCTGGCAGATTATGTGAAACGTGAGCTAGAACGTAAGGAGCGTATTGTTGTCGAAAATCAAGATTGGTTAGTTGTGGTACCTTTCTGGGCTGCTTGGCCCTTTGAGACTCTACTTATATCAAGAAATGACAACAAACGCATAAGCGATGTAACTGCAACGCAGCGAGAGAATTTGGCGAAAGTTATGAAGGAATTAACAACCAAATATGATAACTTATTCCAGTGCTCCTTCCCATATTCAATGGGTTTTCATGGAGCACCAACTGGTGAAGCCAGCGGCGCTGACACATCTCATTGGACACTTCACGCACTTTACTACCCCCCTCTATTGCGGTCTGCCTCTGTGCGTAAATTCATGGTTGGATTTGAGTTATTAAATGAGGCGCAACGCGATTTGACACCAGAGCAAGCAGCTCAACGTCTACGCGAAATTGATGGCGTTCGACATTACTCGGAAAATTAATCAAAGAAATAAAAGTGTATAAATAGATACATATATGTATATAATGGGGAACGAATGTCAACAAATTACCCAATTTATAGGAACGTCACATATCACTTAACATATGTATACTATAAAATGAAAATCCTTAAAGCTAAAGGGTTTAGAAAATTGTAGATAAATAGCGAGAAAAAGTTAAATGTATCAATGCTCTATGATTGAACCAAAGAAAAAAATAGTAAAAGTAATTGATTGGCAATTTGTTAATATAATGAATATTTATTGTTACATACATAGAAAGCACATATGCACATCAATATGCGTGTATAATGTAAATTTAATTTAACCTACTATCTAAAAGTCTGTCTTTGCTATGAATATATTATTGAAAACATTATTTGCACAACTCTGTTCTTGTATTACTTGCTAATCACGTAGACACCTATTGCTATAACAATAATCGCCGCAACTTCTATAATACATTAATAACATTACAATGAACACCTTTACTAACAAAGCTACATTAAATACTTTTGTAATACATTGGTAAATAACGCAACAAATATCAGACAGATAAAATGCTTCGCTTTTAATGTCAATCCACACACACATCAATGCGAAGGTGAGTTAATTCCATAGGTATAATATATTCTGTTCCAATATATTTAGTCACGATCCAATGTTATAAATGGCCACTTTGCCTAAAGGAGCTTTCGAATTTCAAAATCAAAGTTCCACATAGATTATTTATCTTGAACTTAAAATTTCTTCATGACAGCGCGACTTTCAAGTGCTTGCATTTCACTCAGTAGCAGAGCAACATTATAACGCAATTGATGAAACATTGACAGTGGAAATTCCAGTGTACGGTAACGACCATCGGGTAATTGAAAATGCAATATGATAGTTGGCGCATTGATACTGCCGTTACATGTGCTGTCACAAATAGAAAAAATATATATAGTGTATGTATATAAAATTTAATGAGTTAAAACATTACACATACCCCTCTCCTAATGATATGTTAATGCGCCATTGCAGGTTCTTCGGTTTGGAACGTGTTGTCTTGGCCTCAATGAAATTCTTCGTTAAGGAGGCACGATGGTTATACAGTACTTTACTTAAGTCTTCAACGCATTCATCAGTAAATCTACATATATGTATTGTATAGTTTAATAGGGCGCACTAAATTTTTTCGCAAAAAATACTTACCTCAGTTCCTTGAGGCAGTCTCTTAGTTCGTGGTCTTTAACAATACCCTTTGGCGTACGCAAAAATATTTGCATAATTTGCAACACGGCTGCGAATAATTCACAAAAGTTGTCTGGAATGTCTTGGCCAGAATGCGTAAGTTTAGTCAACTCCAAGTCTAATTCTTCCGGTGAACATTTCGAACTCTCCAGATAGTGAACAGAAACTTTTATAAGAACCCGAAGTACTGGTTTCGTTAATTGCGGAAAATATTTGACATAAGGACGTACGGTTCGCACCATGGTATATCTAAAATTCGAGGACATTTTTCAGGACGTATCGCTTTATTAGTAAAATTAGAAAATCTAGCTGAGTTTCTCCGATTTTATTTGTATTTTCTTCCGACTTTTGTTTTGTGTATTAAACAGCTGTTTTATAGGCGTAGCAGAGAACGTATATCATATCGTATAATATACGTTCTCTGCGTTTACATTATTTTGACACAAGCCAAATAGTTAAGGCCCAAATACAATATTACTTATAATACGACTTATGCACTATGTCGTAACAAATTTTACATAGCTTGGAAATGAAATCTAATGTGATCTATTAAAACAAAATAAGAGATTAATAACTTTAATTATTATTATTATTGTTTACCTTTTTTTTTTTTTGCTTTGGGGAAAAATTTTTGGACTTAGAGGGAATGGCATATTGAATGCGGACTCTAGATTAAAAGACCGAAGTACAACACTTAAAGAGGTTGGTATTAATCAAAATAAGAAATAACGTTAACTTCGGCTGCACCGAAGCTATATACCCTTATTTATGATAGAATAAGAGGGTATAAAAAGATCTTTATCTTGATTTTGTCAGTTTGCATGGCAGTTATATAGTAGTCCGACCTGAATAAAATGTTCAGAGATTGTAACGTTGCCGTGAATAATAATCTATGCTGAATTTCGGGCCGGTGGAATCATCGGTCCATATTTCTTCAAAAATTATGCCAGTGAGAACGTAACCGTCAATGGCGACCGTTATCGCGCCATGATAACCGACTATTTGATGCCTGAAATTGAAGATCGTGATCTCGGCAACATTTGGTTTCTATAAGACGGAGCCACTTGCCACTCATCGCCTCAATCAATGGATTTATTGAGAGAACACTTTGGTGAGTAGATAATTTCACGTTTTGGCCCGGTCGATTGGTCACCAAGATCGTGTGATATCACAGCGTGTGGCGATATGTAAAGTCTAAAGTTTAAGCGGACAATTCCGCATCAATTCAGGCCTTGGAGAAAAACATGATGCGTGTCATTCGCCAGTTACCAGTCGAAATGCTCGAATGAGTCATCGAAAATTGGACTCAACGGATGCCCCATCTGAGACGTGGCCACGGCCAACATTTGAAAGACATAATCTTCAAAAAATAAATGTAAAAGAAGAGAAGAAAAGAAGAAATTTCCATTAAATTTGAATTTTCTGTGCTTTTTTTCTTCAAAACGGTAGGGAGCCTTGAAATAGATCACCCTTTATATACATTATAAGGCCTCCGAATATCCCATCTGAATGTGACAAGCTTCGTGGCAAACTTAATATATCCAGGGTATAACAGGGAGAAAATTCAACAAGAACTTGTACTTTGCCGTTTTCAGTTTGGTCTAAGTAAGCGTAACGGATCTGAATTTATATCCGGTCACCTTGAGATGAATAAAAACTATTTGAGCTATGACCATGGGGAAATCATATAGAAAACATATACATATAGTGAAATATGTTAAAAAGATTCGAACATTTCTATATACTGGTAGGAAGCCCACACTCCGAAACACTTTGCATGACTATGTAAGGAGACAGCTGATCCCAGAGTGCTAACAGTTAGTTTTTGTAATGTATACATATAGGTATGTACCATATATAAATGCATATGCACATATATATGTATACATATATATTTTAAAAACTAACCGTTAGCATATGTATGTTTACGTAACTTCGAACTGCACTAAACTGGGTGTGACCCTTTTTTACTACCAGCACTTTCACTCTAAACTCACTCACACAAGTGATCGTGGCTGTTCGTCGCTGCAGCGCCAACCCTTCAACAGTTCACTGCAAGAGAAACAAATAAAAATCGACGTTTCTGCTCGAACACCCAGCGACCGTTAAATAGTGCAGTGTTTCGGAATCGCATTCGCTGCTTTTTTACGTGCCAAGTTCAATATCATTTATGTAATTGAAAGACGAGGGCACTTTATTTACGTACTTTATGGTGGAACGTGCATACATACATTCATATGCAATTTACATACAAGGATATGTACCTATGTGCAGATGCAAATGGTTTTGCGAACAAGCAGTTATTTTTAGGCAGAAAAATCGCCAACATAACTTGATCAATTGCAGCATACAACTGCATGTATGAATGTATGTGTGTATGTATATTGGTGACAATTTCTCCCCCAATTTTCATAATTTCATGTTTGAGCTCTCAAAATGCTGTTCCATTCTACTTCATATAAAAACGCTCTCTTGAACTGTATAAAACACACACACACACAATGTTGTTTGGCTTTGTTAGTTTGCGAGCATCTCCTTAATTACTGCACATCTACATATGTTGTATAAATGTATGTGTGTATGTACATATGTTTGCGAGCAATTTGGTTAGTTCTCTGTATTGGCATTGGGCTGAGACAAGCCCAAACGCTACACCTAGCCAACGTTGCTGCTTTGGCCAAGGTGGCCGTTTTGTTCGTGCTTGTGGCCAGCCGACCGAGCAACCACACCACTTGCCGCTGCCACCGGCGACCAGTAGTGTTGCTGTTATGTTCCGCTCTTGCTACCAGCCCACCAGCCGCCAAAACATGCGGCTCTGCGAGAGTATGCGCGCGCCGCCGTGTCGTGTCGTTTATTATCCAATTCAATAAGAAAAGAGCCATAATTGTATTCGCCAGTTATAACATACATATGCACATGCATGCCAGCGAGTCTGCTCGGCTTGTTGGCTCATCGCAGCAATCGGTCTCAGTTAGTTCTTGGTGAACCGTTGTGCTGGTCGTGTCGTTGTCGCTGCCGTTGTTTAAACACTCTTTACTGCCAATAAAAACTTGTTCCGTGTGTGTGTTTTTCTTGTTGTTATTATTGTGTTTGTAGTACAGGTTTAGCCTTAGCCTCGACTTGAGGGTGTGCTACAAAGTGTCAGTGTTTTAGTAATTTTACGTACGTATGACATATCAACGTTAATAACAGTGTGTGTGTGCGTGTGTGTTGAACACTTGGTCTTGGTCTGTTTGTGCAACGGTTAATTGGAAATCACCAAAAAAAAGTCGGCCTCCAACATCCCGACCGCGCCAAGCACACCTTTCGCGGTGCTGCTGCCACACACCAAAGCCTCGGCTGTCATATTATTACTCAGTTATTGATTTTGTATTTGATGCGTGTGTGTGTGCGTATGTGTGCTGGTGCTGAAAAGTTCTAAACGTTTCTTATTTTTCAAAAGTTAAATACAATTGTTGGCGAAAACACTTGTATATGTCGAAAAAATTTCAAGCTCACCATAAAATATTTAACGACAGCGAAAACAGAGCTTTAATGAGCGTGTGACAAGCTGACAAGCTGCCAAATGTGTCTTCAGCGTGGACAAGTCGTTGTGGCAAAAGCATGATGGTGTGGAAAGCGTATGTGAGCATTTGAAGAATGTGTCACTTAATTTTTTGTTTTATATTATTTATTTTATTTTAATTTTTTTTTGGATTTTTTAACTCAAAATGTATGCTGCACATAAGCAGTTGCTGCTGTAAGATGTGCACAAACATACATACAATTATTTGCCTGTGTGTGTTTGCACGAATGTAGAGAAAAGCACACAGCACAATAATGAAAACATCAGGTACTGGAAGTGCAGACTCGACCAGCAGTCGAAGAAGTTGCGCTTGTGCTACAGCGTGTACAAAGCCAGCAAGAGGAGCAACAACAACAATTGCATAATTACATTTTTGTTGTACGCTATTATAGCGCTTTGGTGGTGCAATATTTAAGTGAATTTTTTTGAAACACCAATTACAAAGAATTTTATACAATTTGAGCGAATTAGTAAACCACTTCACGCAGCGGGAGAAGGAAGCCCTAGCAAAGTGTAAAGAGCCAACAAAACGTCCTTTCGCATGTAAAAACACACATCCAATATGTGTATGTGTGTGCTTTGCACAAGCAAGGATATGCGCCTATGACGTTAGTGACATAACGGTATAATTGTAGTGTGCAAAAAAGTAAAACCTTGAATGAAAGTTTTAAGGGATGCGTTTCTGCTCTGAAGGGCGCCCAAGCACTAAAAGAAAGCTAATGCGAAGAATAAGTAGTAAAAGTGGAAGATAGAGGACGAAGGGAGAGGGCAAGAATTTACGTCCACAATCACGTTTATCGGCTGTTATCGCCTTGTTGCACGCGTCCCTTGCATATTGAGCGCAAATTCACTGCTTACAATTGCAACTGACAGCCACAGCAGCTACTGGTTATCAGGGTTACTTGTCCGCCTGTTGACCATAAACGCTTAGGCTGCCTTCCACGCGCTTATTATATTATCTAGCATACATATGTCGAAGCGCATATTTCATCTACTCACACCATTCTTAATAGCTTTTCTTATCCTTAATAGCTTTATGCGCTCCACTTGCTTATTTGATTGGCACAAATGTCAATAGTCACAAAAAGCAGCAACAACAATTTGCCAATACCCTCACTCGTCGTGGGCTGAGTGTATGCCACCCAAGGAGTGTTATTATGCATTCAACTGTTTTGGGTTTCGACCACTGCTGTTATCGCTTCCGTTGCGAGCAATTTCAGGCCGCTCAATAGTCGAGTCTGTCTTGTTTAAGCAATAACACACAGTGTCTGTTAGCAGCAAAAATTTCGAGCAAAAAAGTATTTTCTTGTTGTGTCATATTTTCTTGAATTATGTAAGATAACATTTGGCCACACCCTTTTTCAGTATAAGTAAACATATTTAAACTTGTAAATCTACATGCAGGAGATATCAACAAGAAAATACGTCATCTTCTGCTGCACCGCAGCTATATACTCTTCACAGTTGCATTTCTTTTATCATAAAAGAATATAAAAAAATCTTTATCTTGATATTGATCGGCCAGTTTGTATGGCAGTTCTAGGCAATTATAGCCGATCTGAATAATATGTTCGAAGATGATAGCGTTGCCCTGGACAATAATCTGTACCAAATTTTATGAAGGTAATTTTTCAAACAAAATAATACAGTAAAAGTGCTATAGTGGTCTGATATCGGCGATTCCAACAAATGACCAACTTCTTTAGGGAGACAAGGACGTGAGCAACATTTCATATCGATACATCAAAAATTAAGGGAGTCGTTCACGTCTGTTCTGGTCACGCTGATCATTTATGTATATATGTATTATAAGGTCTCCGAAGTTTCTTTTTGGGTATTACAAACTTTGTGGCAAACTTATATATCCCGTTTCTGGTATAAAAATTGTTCTCATTACCTCATGGTCGTTGAATAGGTATAATATTATATAACAACAGTGGGAAAATTTGGCAGCTCCGAGAGAAATGACGTTATGCCAGAGCTCTTCGCAAAATTAAGCGATTTTAAAAAATCAGTTTTGGCACTTGTGAGTTAAAAAATGATTACTAACTTATTTCAATGTTATTGCTAAATTTTTATTCTTAAAAACAAATTCGTTCTAAAAAGCTGACATAATAACTGTGAGAAACAGTAGTATGAGTCAACCGTCTGATAAACAACTGTTTTTAGAAGCTTACAATTAACAAGAAGCTATATTTTTTAAAATGAGCTTACTGTTTATAATTTGTGATTCAGTATTGCGGTTAGCCATAAATATATTATTATATAACTATCATTTTTGTCGGAACACATATTGAATAATACGGTTTTTTGAGGAATTATATATAATTTTCGTAATTATAGAACATTCATTATTTCAATTCATATTTTCGAGATTCGTGCTTACAAGCATGCTCAATAACGAATCGGTCAAAATATATTTTGTATGAAAATTAAGTTATTACGCAATAAAAGCTAGATTATATACAGTGAAATTATTAATTGCACTTCCTTCGACCAAAATGTCGACCATAAGACACGTTTGTATATATAATATGATGATATTATACCCTGAGCAGACACATAACCTAAGTGTGCGAAATACAAAATATACAAATTGTTTAAAGACGTTTACATACGATTTGTATGGAGAGACAGTTGAAATATTTCCACGAAACTTGTTTTATATATTCGCTTTGTAATTTTTTAATTGTCTAACGGCATTTTTTTTCAAAAACACGCAGAACGTGACATTTAATTACTCGTATATTGCATTAAGGGTCACGTAAAATTTGATGCCAACATTTTTTACGTAATAAAATATTAACATTTAAATTCCAAATTAAACAGAAAATAAAAGTGAAGTTACAAAATTTACATAAATTTACAACAATCTGAAAACTTCGATATATTATATATCTCATTTTTGTAGATAATTTTATGCTCTACAATTTTTGTCCAAAGTAATGTTTTGATACAACTCACCATTTCATTGAAAATCGCAAAAAAAAATCTAACCTTTGACCTCGAGTATTTTTTTCCACATATCGGAACCATGAGTAGTTTTAGTATATTATTTTTAATATGTTTTGAATACATTCCCTAACTTTCAGCTTCTTGTAAATTTATATAGCCGTGAAGATCTGTTCCACCTAAAGTCTACTTTTTGTAATAATAATAATATAAGCAAAAAATTAGAAATTTAATCGTTATCGGATTGGATCAAACAAGCGATCTCTATAAATAGCGGTTATGCTATAAATTAAGGATCCTGAAATTATTCAAAAAAGAAGTTTAGCGTGATTTTTTCATAAATTTAGTTACACACATCATGGCACATCATGTACTAGTTGAACCTAATAAAGTATAATATAATCCGAAAATACAAATATTTTAATTTAAACTGCGAAGAACTGCAAAGTTGTAAATAACTTCAGAATTTGAGAAATAAAAAAAAGAGATTGCTTGTGACTCAGCCAATACTCAATTCTCATCGAACTTCTTAAATAAGCGAAAAATTTCATTTTTGTTCTTCTCCCGAAAGCCCTACATATGTAATTGTAATAAAAAGTTCTATTGAGCAGCAAAATTACAGCACAATTCTCAAAAAACTTTTAACTACTTTTCACTCGTTCATGCCACACTGTATGCTCTGCCTCATGCACCCTCGGATGCTTATGTAAGTGATTGGTAAACTGATTGCACAAACTGGCAGACGAATCGAGTGCCTTTATTGGCAATTGTCGAATTTTATCGTGACTGCATTTGTAGTAAACATGTTTCAATGAATGCGATAATTTCGCTTTGCCTCATCCGAAGACGTAAAACTTTTCTGTGTATCTGTACAAGTGTGTGAATGTATGTTTCTGTCTACGATTATACAACGAAAAAAGTTATATAAATTGCATATGAAAAGCATAAACGTGAATATCGGCGACATGCTCAATAACATAAATTTGTAAAATTTTGTTGCTACTAACTCATGTGCATACATATAACTGTACAACTGTCCCTGTCAATATGCATATATTAATCTAATAAAGAGCTTCTTTTCGTTGTATTTCAAACTCGTCAACTTGCTGACAAATGCCAACTTGCTGACAAACGCCAACATCAATCAAAACACGAAAACGCTGTCAACGCCGCTGAAATTACTGCCCACATTATACGTACATATACATCTATTTTATATTTATGTATGTGTGTGTGCAGTAGTCTAAGTCTAGAAAACAAAACAAACATAAAACAAGTGTGAAAATGCCATTAGCGTTCCGCAGGTGCACGCTGCAGGCCGCGCTGCTCGCTTGGCTCTGCGTGGCCATGTCGCCGTTGCGCGCCAGCGCTAGCATCGTGGAAAAACTCCGCGATGATTCCGATCTGTCGCAGGTAAGTCAACAACTCAACACAGATATTTTCTTAATGTATCAGTTTTCAACAATTTTTTTTATCCATTTATATTTATAAATTGTATTTACTTGTATCGTTTCTTTTATTTCTACGTTTTTATTGTTGTTAGTGCTAGCATTAATGCTATTGTTGTTGTTGTTGTTACAGAGAATTTTTGTTTTAACCCTCTTAGGTTGTCCTTGCTGTTGCTCTTCCCCATTAGCTTGTTGTCGTTGTCCTCCACCTTTGACTTTTCGACGGTGTGCTTAAAGCAGCATACATATATATATATACATACTTGTACATACATCCTTAGCTCTATTTACTCATACATGTATGTACTTAAAAACTTTTATTTGAGGCATAGGCATCATAGACCTGCTGCTTCAAACATTCTTTTATTTGCTTAGCATTTATTAGCCCTTATACATATATAATTGCTCTTAGTTGCTAGTGTTGTACAAAAAAGTGCACACATCCACATATAGAAAAGTGTCCTCCAGCCGTTTTGTTGCAATTGGCGTCAATTCCCTGACCTAATTCCTATGTAATTTTTGTGTGCAGACATATATACACACACACACACACATACACACTTTCCAAGTTGACATCGCGTCATAGCGCTCCAATGTCGTTGTTGTTGCCCTTGAAATGCCGCCTACCTGCTCGGGACGCTGTATACATGTACATGTACTGTTGGAATTCGGAAAAGTACGGCAACAGCTGCTCATTCACAAGTCACTGCAGCATTCAGGCAGCGCGACGCACGACTAGATGAACACATCGTGTTTAATTTTTTGTTCGTTAACGAATTGTGCAACTGCGAGCAGAGCGTCCTTGACCTCTCCCGTTTTGTGTTGCGCGGAAAAGGTTTTGTGGCGCGAAAAAACGCTAGAAATGCAAAACACGCCGTTGGGAATTAGCCTTGCATCAAAGTGTGGTTTTACTTTACATCGCTAGAGGTACAAATTTCCCATATACTTGTGTGTGTGTGCTGGTTTGTCAGCTTTACATGCATAAAAAATCGATAGTTACACAAAACCGTCGCCTTAATTTATTGCGCTGCTGTCGGTTGGCCTTGTTTTGTTGTTGTGCTTGTGTCCGACTGCTTCCGTTTTAGCGCAGGCAAAGCTGGCGCCCCTCAACTCACCTTAAAAAAACTGAAAATATGTACATATATTTCTGCGCGTATATATGTACATAAGTAAGTATGTATTTGCATCCTGTGTGAGTAATCGATATTTTTTACAATTTCACTTTCCTTGCGTTTCGCTTCACCCTTTGGTCGTGTGAATTTTTTTAGCTTTTCCTTCTTAGCCGTTTAGACGTTTGGCGATATCCGTGCGACATGCGGTGCAGATTAAAGTTTACGTCACCTGTGCGTGCTTTGGGGTTTTTGTATAATCCGTTTTATATGCCATATGTGTGCTTTCCTATATGTGCTTTATACCTATGTATATATAATATATTTATAGCTGCATATATATTTTCTACATACACCGTTACTAGATTAACCTATTAGAAACTCGAAAATTCCTGAGAGCAATTGGCGGCAAAATGATATGGATGCTGTTAACCTGTTGCTTCTCAAGTAATCGGAACGTGCTGTGAAATACAAGTAGTTGTAGTAGTCTATTATCGTACATACATAAGTAGTAAAACTTGATTAGCTTATAATAAAAAGATGATATTAATTACATTATTAGAAAAGTTCAGCATTTAATGGTTATTAGTGCTTTCATCGTATTATAGAAAGCACAAAATATTTTAAAAATTACGTAAAATTTCCAATAATTTTTTTAGAAAATCTGACCAGATTAAGAAACGAACAGGTTAACTCCATTAATTGGAAAATAATATCATATAAGGGATTTCGACAAATGAAACTCTTTTTGAATTACCGCCTATATATATATATATCTTTATAAATTTTTTGTATTTATTATTTTATTTTCTTAAAATGCAATTTATAACAATCTGCTAAAAGCAGGCTAAATTATTATAGAGGTAGAAGAAAAAAACGGCAAAATATTTTTTTCTAAATGAACTCAGTGATTTAATACGTGATCAAGTTAGGAATGATAATCATAAGCAATTTAGCAAAGTGTTGTACGTGGCAGGATATTGTTTTAATTACATTTGCAGAAAATTTCCAAAGTTTAGATGGAGTGGAATATTTAATACAACAATTAATGAAAGATACAGATATTATCAAAGTTATGCCTGTTCCGGAATGTGAGGTATAGGAAGGTTTTGTATTGATAGTAAAAAATTTCCTAGGTAATCATAAAGATTGTGCAAAATATGGTACGCTGACAAAACGTTCAGACTCTAGGAGCAAATATGAGTATCAAGTTAGACTCTATCTGCAAGAATCTGGATACATGTTTGGATAATTTAAGAACGCATAGTGATGTAAAAGTAAAAGTGATGGATGAAAGGTATCAAGGTTGATGGGTGTTGTTAACTAAAACATTGTAAAAGAAAACATCTTAAAAGACATTTTTTGAAATAAAATATATGTTCTCGACACTTATATTTCCAAAATCTATCCTATATCTAGAACAACAAAACCACTGTAGACACGTGTTTTTTTATATGATCTAGTGGCTTTGTAAGCGGTCCTTCTGTTCTTTATTTTGAAGCCCCACATAGTCTAGTTGTTTGTGAAGTGAGTCTAAGGAAATATAGGCTGTCTTTCAGACCATTTCTCTGCACCTTATCCTTGCGTGCTGTTTTTTTTTTCAAAAAATGTAGATGGAAAAGGAACAATAAAGTTATCGAGTATGTGTATACCTCATTAAAGTAGTATAACTAGTCAGCTTGTTTGAACATCTATTATAGTCTATTCGATCGATTTGCCACTCTCCAACGCTTCTCGAAGCGAATACAGCTAATATTTCTCTCAGAGTTTTATAAAATATTGATATGAGAGCATTTTTAATATCAAAAAAGAATCGATTACTATCATCAACTAATGTCCTGATAACATTCATCTATCGTTCCACTTCGACATAAATACCCGGAGGCTTCACTTCTTATAAATGCATTACTATTGTCGGACTGCCCGTTGAAAAACCTTTTCAAAAGTTTTGATATCGACACCAATTGGTGTGTATGACGTATGGTGAGTCACACAGTGATCGACTTATTCATTTATTATAAATGAAAACTTAAATTAAAAACATACATATTATGTGTAAATATTCAAAGCAGGAGTTTTCGGTTTCCCCAATGATCCAGCAATCATTATTCAGCAGACGTTTCTACGCATGCACGACTGCGCGTGTACTCGTATCTTCAACTAATTATTCATGGCAGTGTGCGGGTACTTGCGCACTAAAGACTGTGTCGAAGACTTGGATGCGGCAAGGCGCATTAACACACATGCATAATTATGCATGTAAACGCTGTGCGCCTAGGCAAATGCGTTTAACCAATTGGAGTGTAAGAAAACCATTCTGCAGCAATGATGGCAGCGATTTTGAATGTCGTTTTTCAGCACACATCTACAAATGTGTGTGTGTGATTAGAGTTTGCACACATATCACACTTTCTTTTAGCCAAGAGCTGTAAAAATAGTACAAAATAACATGTAGACATTGTATATAAATGTATGTATGCGTGTGTGTGTAAATAGTTTACAAGCGTGGTAGAGTAGGCGCAATGAACTCATTTGCGCCTCGTTCATTGTTGGCTCGGCCATAGTTCCACATTGTATGGATGGCAGATAGTTATTAAGCATATAAGTATGCCTGTGTGTGTATTTGTCGACAGCATTCTTGGCATTCTCTTGGCCAGCTTGCGTACATTTGTTATTGTTGTTGTGGTTGGTCATAGTGTTAGCGCTTTCCAGCAGACCTCTGCGAGCTGCACACCAGCTGTTCATGCTACCATAACATTTCACATATTAATACCCATCGTCACACACATATAAACACATTTACACACATACATATAAACAATACAATAGTTCAACTCATTTACATACTTATTGTATTTGGTATGATTAGTATTACCTCAGGCTTGCTTTGCACCTCAGTCATTGTAACGCGCCGAAAAGCGTCGCGCTCTGTTAGGCAAGTAATGCCAAAATTTCCAGTAACCAAAACTCGCTGCTCCACGTAAAACAACTGCCAACAACAACGCGTACAAAGCGACTCGACTTGACTCTTTTTTTTTATTGTTCATTAAAATAAGTGACAAAGGGTAACCAGGTGGCTAACAGCAGACTTTTCCAATTGCAAACGTGTTCGTCTTGTTGTTTTTGTTATTTTAGGTTACAGCGAAACAAAAGAAAACAGCAAGTCAACATTAGTACATATATACATATGTCTGCATATGCTTATATAAATGCAGCTACATGTGTACATACATTGTATGTATAAATGAGCTTGCGAAAAAACAACACAACTTACGTAAACTATTTACACATATGTGCATGTGTGTGTGTGTCAAGTGAAAAAAGCTTAACTGGGAAATGGGCACACAAGGTAAATAAACAACGTGAAATAAAAGAAATTTTGTAGTTGAAAGTCATCGTTAATGTTTGCAATGCGCTCGAACATTTAAATGCTTATGCTCGTATCAACACACACACACACATAACATACATACATATCTAGATGCAAGAAACCAAAATATGCAGTTTGTTAGCAATAGACAACATACAATACAAAAAAAAAAAAAACTTGTATGTAAAGTATGTATTTTATGTATGTACATATGTATGTGCATACGTAGAAAGTATGTTGACAACCAAGTTCAGAAGGCATAATAATTACCGTAATTGATGTTTTTTGAGTAAATCTGTTTTTTTCGGTACCGACTTGTTTTAACTTTCCTCTAACAAGTTTCTTATAAAGCATTTTCTGATTCTGATTTTACTAATCACACGTCCGGTTTTATATTGTATTATATCGTGCGAAACGGGCTGTCCCCTGAGTAAAATTTCTCTAAATTTATTTTAGGACTGTTTTATGCCGCTATAATAGTAAAAA